AGATAGAAATTTGTATCAATATGTACCCCCAAAGATAAAAAAATATCAATTTGTACTCTCAAAGATAGAAATTTGTATTAATGTGTACCTAAAATTAAATTAATAAATTATACTTAGATCTTTTATGCTTGTCACTTAATCATTTGTACCCTTTTTTCACATTTAGAGTATTACTCATACATCTTATAACGTTTGTACATGTGTAACACGTAATCCCTTTCCGTTGATATCTGTTAATATAACCGTTAAAAAATATGATTTTATCATAATAAAAAATTATAATTTTATATTACCCTTTATTTTATGAGTCTAATATACTCTAAAATTCAAAATCAAGTCTACTATTTGAATGTCTAATAGAATAAAGGGTTGCACATTGAGTGATATATTGCATTGGATATAAAAAATATTATAGAAATATATACATTCTATTGGACATTCAAATGGTAAATTTGATTTTTAACTTTAAAGTATATCGGACATACAAAATACAGAGTAATATGAAATTATAATTTTTTATTAGGATAAAATCATATTTTTTAATGGTTATATTAACATATATCAATGAAAAAGGGTTACGTGTTACACGTGCACAAATGTCATAAGATGTATGAGTAATATTCTAAATGTGAATGGGTCCAAATGATTAAGTAACAAGTATGAAGGGATCTAGATATTATTTATCAATTTAGTTTTAGATGCACATTGATACAAATTTCTATATTTTAGGGTGTAAATTGAGATTTTTTATCTTTGGGGGTGCACATTGATACAAATTTTTATCTTGGAGGGTACAAATTGAGATTTTTTATCTTTGGGGGTGCACATTGATATAAATTTTTATCTTTGAAGGTATAAATTGAGATTTTTTATCTTTGGGGGTATAAATTAAGATTCAAACTATCTTTTAGGATGCAACTTGTAATTAATCCTTTAAAATTTATTCAAAAAAATTATTTTTTATCACTCAATTTTTTTATAATTATTTTATTTAACTTATCAAATAAAAAAAAAAACAAATTATACACCTGTGAATCGCACGGGAGAATCCACTAGTGTGTGTATCTATATAATAAAATAGTTAGGTGTTTAAAATTTTTTCTTATATGTATTTTATTCTTCTAAACTATCACATAATCTATTTCTATCACATGTTTCATTATTTAATATTTAATTAATTTATAGTTTAACATAATTTTTATTTTAGATATTATCTATAGTATACACATGTTTAAAATTTTTATCGAATTACGTATTTATTTTGATATTTTTAAAAAAATAATTGATAAAAATAAATTTTAAATGATGTAATCAAATAGATGAAAGAAAGAAAAATTATTATTTAATAATTTATATAATAAAGTAGCTTACAATTCAAATATCAAAAGATAAACAAAATGATTTTTGCTATTCGTGGTTGAGATCGTTTTAAATTTTACTTTAAAGTTAATTTAACAGTTAATATTAATACCCTAAATTTAATAGAAAAAATAGACCCCTAATAGAGTGTTTAAACTGATTTTTTAAAAGTACTTCTACAAATTATTTCTCATAAATATTTTTAAAAAAATAGTGTTTGAAACCACCGCCACCATTGTCACTACCGCCGTCGTCGCCACCACCATCGTCGTCGTTACAACCACCATCGTTGCCACCAGCACCATTGTCGCCACCATCACCACCACCCCCACCACCGATGTTGTTGCCACCATCACAGTCCTCGCCATTATCATCGCAATCATCGTCACTGCTACCGTCACCACCATTATTACCACCACCACACCCATTGCCACCGCTGCCACCACTACCATCATCGTCGCCACTGTCGTCGCCACCACCATAATCACCTTCACAACTACTATCATCACCACCCCCCGTCACCACCACCATCGTTGTCGCCACCGTCACCACTACCGTCATTGCCACCGCTACCACCATTGTTATCGTCGCTATCATCACCACTACTATCACTGTCACACTTTCTGCCACCACCACTGTCGCCCACCACCTCTCACTCTCACTACAAATCGATACTTAAATTTTTTTATTTTTGATCTATATTTAAAATTTTATTTTGAATATAAATATAAATATATTTATTATTTATCATTTTTTATTCTTCTGTGTCTTTAATATAGTACAATCAATTTTTTGAACTTTCAAATTTTATATTTTATCATTTTTCTAAATATGGGTTATGATATATATATATATATATATATATATATATATATATATATAGGTTAAAGAACATCTCACTCTGACACGAAAAAATTTGTTTGGGGAAAGGAGGAATTGGTGGACGTGGGCAGGTAAGAACACAATAACTGTAAGAAACCTCTGTTTCTTTATTCTCGACTGTTTGTTGACTAATAAGCGCCATGCTTTTTGGCTTCGTCAAACGCGTGGAACCCAATTTGTCGTTCGCTCCATCAAACACGCGGTATTAGAATTAAGTGATATTTTGAATTGTGATCTCTCAAAATGCCGTTGAAAATTATACTAAGAAAAAAACAAAAATAAAAACAAAAACAAAAAGATTTGGGCAAAATGGATTTGTCTCAGTCAATTATAACGGCTTCTTTTTGTACTTTCCTAAAAATAAACCAGCTCTACCGACTAACATAGAAGATGAAATACACGAATTTTGCCCCATGACTCGGTTTTGTGTGGGGCTTTGTCGTTTTGGGATAGATTCGGGATAGCTGTATCTATATAAAAATTAAAAAACCCCTTCTTTTAGCTTACTGTAATGTTTTTTTTTTTTTTAATAAAAATTCATTTCCTAAAATTTTTTAGAGTAACCTACACACATATGACCCTTAAAACTATGAACATTCTTTTAATTAAACATCATGCATTTTTTTTTTGTATCAATTGAGCCAATGAATTTTTTAATTGTATCAATTGAACCTTTCGATATGTCTGAATTAGAGTGTGTCACTCACGTGACTATATAGCATAAAAAGATAAAATGATTCAATTGACACAACTACAGAGTTCAAGAGCTTAACTAATACAAAAAAAAAATTAGGAATTTAATTAATACAAGAGTCATAGTTTGATAGTTATATCTCCAACTATTTGTGTCACGTGAGTGATACACTTTACCATTTTTCATTAAAAAATCCAATTAAGGCAAACATAAGGGTTCAATTGACACAATTAGAGAGTTTAAAAACTCAATTGACAAAAAAAAAAAAATTATCGATTTAATTGACATAAAAATAATATTTTAAGAATTATATGTGTACTTTACTGAACTTTTTGTATATTCCAATTCTCGTGGTACGCTAACATCGGATAGTTAAATTTGATTGAAATTGTAACTATGCATTTTAGTATACAAAACACACGAGAGTTATTAGAATATTTTTAGATATTAGGAAATTAAGACTGTCCCTTAATTTATTTACCTCGGCTTTTATTGGATATGTTCATTATTCTGGTTTCCTTTTATTTATTTGCCTGCTTTCCATTACTTTCCTAATTTTGTCATCAAAATTAATACTTCACAAGAGGGGTCTTATTGAAAAGGAGTATTTTTTTTTGAAGGAAAAAAGGAGTATTTCAAGAACATCCTCTTCTCGTTAACTTCAATCGGAGTCGGTTGGAGCAACTTGTAAAGTTCCAAAAGAGAACGAGATCATGTATGGTAGAAGGAAGCCGAAATAAATGGTAAGTTATCTTTATTCTTTATTATTCTGTTGTAAAAACTTTTTATTCCTTTTTCTTTTATCAGATGTATACAGACTTTAAATTTCTTCTCTGTGGCGGGAGAATGGTTCTTGATATACAACCTCACTTTTTAAAATTGATAAGGATCGGTTAATGAAGTCAATTTTTTGTTGTCTAGGAAGTCGGTTTGTTCGTATCGAATGATTTTTTATATAATATTATGCACTTAAGCTTAAAAGCCCTTAAAAACTTACACTTATTTTCCTAATGTGATTGCAAAATACGTCATACTAATGACAGAGGATTAATTGTTAAACTGTTGGTCTTTAAGAAGAGATTATTGGAATCCAACTTAATTAGTCATAAATATTTCTTTCTTCTGCAGATATGATTTGTTGGAACTCGTACAAGTAATTTGGAACCATTGAATAAGTCATACTTGATAAATGGCCGGTCGTTTTTATGTGTGTTTCCACCCACACCCACGCACATACACACGAGAGAATGGTGGTTTAGTTTTTTATGGGGTGGGGTTGGGGAGTTAAGTTGCATGGTGTTTCAATTTCTCATGGTACACAAACCAAAGTTGTGCGTAGACCTAGAAATTCATCAGTGCAAGACGAAAAGAATCTAGAAAGGTTGCCCTGCCTTTTCTATTGACCAACCTGCCCAAACCCCCCCAAAGTCTCAAAAACAATTATGTCAAATTGACGAAAACTTTTACATATTTAGCCCCCCTACGAAAAACTTAAACTTTCAATTAACCCAATTGCGATTCTCTCTCTCTTCCCAACCCCCAACCCAATTTTGATTCTCTCTCTCTCTCTCTCTCTCTCTCTCCCTGAAAACAGACCCGAGAATAAACAGCCGAAAACAGACCTCTCAGCTGATAAAACCAATAAAATCTACAGATACATATAAATAAACATACATGTCATATAACAAACTTCAGAATTCCAAAACTGTAACCTCCAAGCAACCGAAAGATTAGCTTAAGCCTAGTCAGAGTCGCTGACAGGTAACTATCTCTCCTAAAATTTTGCTTTCAAATCTCATCACCCCCTTGAAACTCTCCAATTAGGTCAGATTTCGACCTCTTCTGAATCAGAAATCGACCCAAATCTTTGGGTTTTTGATTGTTTCTTTTCTTTTTACAGGTATAAGGTCCATTCTTGTTTTGAAAAATTCAAAGGAGCCATGAGTTACCCGAACTGCCCTGTTTCTGTTTCCTCTGTTTTTGCTTGGAACTGAATTTACTGGCTGATTAAATTGATGGTTTATGAAGATTGTTTTTATTCAGTGCCCATTTCGATTCTGTGGATATGGGCTCTGTTAAGATGTTCCTGTATCAGAAATTGGTTCTCTTTGTCCGCTCTTTCTGGTTCTCCGTCTCCACCTATTTGCTTCCTTGGTTGGGTGTCATTACCACCTACCTCTTCAGGTACTCCTTTATTCAATTTATTTTTTTTTTCGATGAGATTCATTGTTTTATAATTCTTTATGATGATTAACCTGTTTCGTGGTTCTTGGTTTTACAGGTTTAAAAAGAATAAGAGTTCTTCAGAGAACAATTCAAAGTTCTCAGAGCTTATTTCTGAAGAAAATTGCCAAAAGAATCCCAGTTGTAATGCGCCAGAGTCAGTGTTAGAAGTAAAAAATGATTCTTTCAGTTTTTCTGAAAGAGAGAATGATGAGGTGGGCGAAAAAGAGACTCCCGCGTTCTGTTTCAAATTTAAATTCCCAACCTTTGAGGAATTCAGTAAAAGCAGTGGGGTTGATAAAGGTTTTCTTAGCTCTGAAGTGGTTCCATCAATTAGTACTAGTAAGTATGAGTTCATGCCTGAGAAGAGTTTTAGCGGGTTCATTGAAGAACCAGAGTTTTTAAGTTTTGATGTAAAAGAAGCAAACATTGATAAAAATAGTGGTTCTTTAGGAGTGAATGAAATTGTTGAAGATGGGTTTTTATCGGAGATGGATTTTAAAAAAGTTCATTCAGAACCAGAAACTGTTCATGATGAAGTACCAGAGAACGTGATTGATGATGCATGTTTGGAAGAGGAGATACCAGAGAAAATTGAGGCAACGACATTCACAGAAGAGAAGCTTGAACCAGATGATGAAGATAACATTTCTCGTGGTGACCAAGATGAAGTTCATTCTGAAAATGATTCCATCAGTATGGAATCAGATTCAGAATCAATGAGTTTAAGCCATATGCATTCTGTTATGAGTCATCTGATTGATTCATATAGTGATGGGTTTTTGTCAGATGGAGATTTCGGAGGAGAATTTGAACTAGATACTTTGATGGATAATGATGGTGAGAAGAAAGAGCACTATGATGGGATGCCAGACTTTGAAGATCACGAATCTGATGACTTTGATGATGAAGATAGTGATATAATGGAAGAACTTAAAAAATTGGAGGAGGTTCATTTGCAGAATCCATTTGTATCTCAGAATGATTTTGGTAAAGAATTGGACAAATCCAAAAATGAAGAATTCAATACCAAAGATGACAAGCCAGTGAACGGTTCAGGTAATTCTGAAAAGCTCGAGTCAAAGAATTCATCAGACCTGGATTCAGAGGATGAATATGATTTGGAAACATTGTGGGAACATCAAGAATTGATAGAACAGTTGAAGATGGAACTTAAAAAGGTTAGAGCCACAGGACTGCCTACTATCATGGAAGAATCCGAGTCGCCAAAGATGGAGGACTTAAAGCCATGGAAGATCGACGAGAAGTTTCAGCGTGAAGATTGTATAGGGGAGCTTCACAAATTCTACAAGAGTTACAGGGAGAGGATGCGAAAATTCGATATCTTGAATTACCAGAAGATGTATGCAATAGGTCGGTTACTTTATCTTTATCCCTTCACTTGTTAAATCTATCATTATTGTTACTTATTCTCATCATCGTTATGTTTGTTCCTTTATTCTATACTAATTTGTATAGATGACCCTTCATGATTATCATCATTTTTTATCTGGTCTGAACTAATCTATCCATCGAAATGAATATCTCAACCTACTTTTCATAATTAAGAAGTTTAGTAAAGGACCCACTAAATCTAGGTAGTTGGGGGTGGTGGAGGTCTTCAGAAACACAATAACCATGAACCTGCTCAGGTGCAAAGCATTGTTGTAGTGACTGTTAAACAGATTAAAATGGGACGGGGAAAAGTGCACAGACTTTTATGCTGTATATTTAGGTGTAAACGCAAACACATGCAAACCAAGCATAAATCCTGATCTATGACCCATGTCAGTCGGGTGGTACGCCTAGTCACTTCATAGGCAAGTTCGAACCTTGCAGGTGTATTTGAAGTTCTTACCTATCTTTAGAGAGAAATAAAAAGCCCGATCTACATATTTAGGGGATCGTTATTGTATAGGGAGACATGAATACTACATAGGTGCATTGTATATGAACAACTGGAGAAATTTTAATGGAATCCATATGGATTGCGCTCATAAAAGGTGTAAAATCTCGTGTGGCATCTTTTATTATAATGCAGTGTCTGTTTTTCCAATCAAACAAGCAACAGAATGTACTGATGGTTAGATAGAGCTAACCATTTTCTGGATGCTCAAGTTAAATGTTCTGATAAGTTGAAATTCATATTCATACAACTAACGGCAACCAACCAACCAGAACTTTTCACCTTCCTCGACCTATGCATTGGAACATTATTTCATTAGGGGATAACTTCACCTAACTGCCAATTTTTATTATACTAAACTAATCCAACACTGATAAAATGGCTATGTGAAATCCTTTTTGGTCATTGTTTTTCTTTTTGAACAATTTATGTGGTACTAGCCCACAATTTGGAAAAGCAATACGAGTTTATTATATTTGATTTTGATCAATTCAAAACTTTGGTGATAGGATTCATATGCAGGTGACATGTTAGATGTTTTTTTTTCCTCTATACCCTCTTTCATGTTTAATTTTATCCTATCCTCATGTAAATCATTCACAGGTTTTCTGCAGCTTAAAGACCCACTCCAATCAATTACAAGGCAGAAAACTTCAGTTCCAGCTTTCACATCCCTTTTGTCACAGAGCTTTAAATCATACAAGAAGAAAAAAGTTGAAACCGACCCAATGATAAAGTTCATCGGAGAATTACAGAGTGATTTGGAAGTGGTGTATGTCGGACAAATGTGCCTTTCCTGGGAAATTCTACAATGGCAATATGAGAAGACCTTGGATCTTTGGGAAGCTGATCCACGAAGGATACATCTGTACAATGAAGTTGCTGGAGAATTTCAGCAGTTTCAAGTGCTCATGCAAAGATTTATAGAGGATGAACCTTTTCAAGGTCCAAGGGTTCAGAATTATGTCAAGAATCGATGTGTTCTTCGTAATCTTCTTCAGATTCCTCTTATAAGAGGTGAGAATTTGGAAATTTGGGTTATTCTTAGCCAAGTTGGTAGTTGCATTTCTCTTAAATTACATGATATTATGATAATTTTTACGCTAAGTGAGGCTGCAGATGATAATAATTCTTCAGATGCTGATTTCTAACTGTATATCATACCATGAAATAAACTAGAATTTAATTTCTTTGCAGAGGATAGTTCAAAGGACAAAAGGAAGGCAAAAATGAAAGAGAAAGGCGAATATGCCATTACAAGTGACATGCTAGTGGAGATCATGGAAGAATCAATACGAATTTTTTGGCGATTTGTTCGAGCAGATAAGGATTGCACCAATGTCATTTCAAAGGATCGAAGGGGAACACCTGTAGAACTTCAAGATCCTGAAGATTCCAAGCTTTTGTTGGAAGTCCGAAGAAATCTTCAGAAGGTTAATTTTACAATTTTTTCAGGGAAAAAAACCTTGCATTTGCCTCTAATTGAATTGATTAGTGAATTGCTTAATATGTTCTTCTTTTATTGGAATGCAGAAGGAGAGGAAGCTCAAAGATCTGTTGAGGAGTGGAAACTGCATATTAAGGAAGTTCCAAAGGTGTCGAGAAGACGAGTCAGATCAAGTTCTTTGCTTCTTCTCTCAAGTAGATATGAAACTAGTCTCAAGGGTCCTAAACATGTCAAGAATAACAACAGACCAGCTGTTCTGGTGTCGAAATAAACTAAGCAATATTAGTTTCGTTAACCGGAAGATTCATGTAGAATCTTCATTTTTGCTCTTTCCATGTTAAATCCTAACAACTAGATCATGATATTAAACAGGAAGAAAAAAAAACGAAATCTTTAGGAAAATTTTGCTGTGTCTGTAGCTTGGAAATACTGTGTTTAAGTGTTAGCTAGATGGTTGACAATGAGTTTCCAGGATAGTGTCTTTGGATGTGGACCCTTTGGCAGAACAAAGCAAGATTAGAATATGAATAAGAATAAGCACATAATGTACTAAATGAAACCACAGGAATGTTTTAAGCTGTTATTATGATGTGTTCATACGAAATTCAATTAATAATACATTATATTTATGCAAACACTATGGCGGTTGATGTGTGAAAATCTGAAAAGACAAGGTGACGCATTGTGGAAGTTCAGTTTTGCGTGTGTTAGACGAATATTAGCCTTGCAAAGATGTTTATTAAAAATAAATGGTCTTGAAAAGATGAGGTCCCTATGACCTACCAATGACAATTGACAAGGCTTTGACTTTATATTTCTGCCCCCATATTTGGTTTTCTGTATTGACTACATCATCTAAAATGGACGTTTCACCTTCACATTTCCACCCCCAAATACATATTCCATGTCCTCCAGGTTGAAATAAGGATAAACAACCCGTCATAGGGGTTGATATGGGGGTGAAAAAAGTTGAGAGATAAACACGAACAAACGTTCTGAGTTAAAGTCTTTTTGATTGCATAATAACAATGATCAAAATATTGTTTTAAAACGGTCGAAACATCCGAAACGTTTTTATTTTAAAGAGATTCAAACGAATCAGTAATGGAATCAAAATTCTAATATTTCAACATATTCTATAATATTTTGAAATGTTTTGTTATGTTTCAATGCATTTGTACAATTATTTTGGAATGTTTTAAAATATTTCAAGATATTTTGGTATATTTCGACCAATATTTAAAAAAAAAAATTCTTAAATTATTTATTTTTTTTCATTCGGTTTTTGGAACGGGTCAAAACGTTTCCATTTTTTAGATGACCGAAACAATACACTAAAACAAAATTTTGATCCATGCATAATAATCAGTAAAGTTGATGTGTGTCATTTGCTGGTGTATGCAAATGAAAATAAATGGAAAATAGGGGATGGAAAAGCTAAGAAAGTCCACTAATAATCAATAAATAGGAAAACATTATAGTTTGACCTCCTTAATTATGTCTCGTGCCTCACATTGTCTCATCAACTATCATGTCTTTTATATTGCTCCCCTAACTATATTTGTTGACTTCACTGTGTCTCAATTGTAGAAATTAAATTACATAAACATGTAACTTACTACCTACAAATATTTTCCATTCAAAACATAAATGACATTTGGTTTTGGAACAATTTGAAGCAAATTAAAATAGTTGAGGGGCAACTTTGAGAAACTCGATAATTGAGGGACAAAAATGAGAGCCAAACGTAAAATTGGCATTAACTCCATTGGAGAAATAGAGTTCCAGTTGCTGAGGAGAGAACCCCGCATAACTTCAGTTGTCACCCACTATATCCCGCTGCATTTCTTGATCTTGGACTGAAATTAAAGCAGAAAATAGAATGGATTTTTGAAGTCGGTACACCTAATTAAATTTATTTGACAAAAAGTACATATTAAAAAATATTTTGGAAAAAGGTACACTAGTTAGATGCAAAGACATAAATGCCCATTTTAGAAAAAATGGTACATTAAATATCTCCTAATTTTATGAAAAAACTTTAATATTTAATACACATTGATTCATGTGTATTTGTTAATATATATATACAAACAAGTATATATAAATACGTATATATATGTGTATGTATATTGTATTTATATACATACATATATACAAGTATGCACGTATATAAATACAATATACATATATATATATATATATATATACGTATTTATATACATATATACAAGTATTTATTTATGTATATATATAAGTACATATACAAGTATGTATATACGTGTAAAATATAATATTAAAAATGAAAAATATAACATTGAAAATGTAAAGTGTAAATATTATCTTATATCTCACCTTACTTAATGGAAAGTGCAAAATGTTACATGTTAACATTGAAAGTGTAACACTTTCACACTTTCTCAATTAATTAACATTTTTAGTGTAAGATGAGACATGTATATTCTGTTTGTGTAACACTTTAAGTAATATTTCCCTTTACCTTATGTAAATAGTTTGTTACACTTTTAATATTATACTTTACACTTTCAAAAATGTTATACTTTACACGTGTGTATATATATACACATAAATCAAGGTGCATTAAATACTAAAGTTCTCCTATAAAATTATGAGATATTTAATGTACCACTTTTGAAAGAACACACACATGAATCAATATAGGACAAAAAATGTCACAAAAAAATTAGACAAATTTAAATTGTGTACTTAAATACAAATAAGTATCAAAATTAAGAACTTAATAATCTTACATTTTTTAGTGTGTATTTTTTCCTAAATAAGTCTAATTTGGTTGACCCTTAAATTGCCAGCACACACACAAATGTCCTCGAATGGCCCATGGGTTGACCTGTTGGCCCGACTGACAGTCCATCAGGCTTTAAACCAGCCCAGTCCGTCACATGGAGTCCCGTTGATTTCCTCATAGTCCAGTAGACACGGTGCAAACGAACTGCTCAGAATAAGATGCACGAAAGTGGGCCCGACTAACTGGTTGGAGAAAATTGGAGAGCGCTTAATTCAACGTAACAATTGAATTAAAAAGTAAGAGAATTTAGAAGTCGGTATATTTTTTTATATTTATTTGGGCAAAAATACAAGTCCAAAACTTATTTTAGATAAATATACATATTTTTTTAAAATGCCACTATTGTCACAAACAGCATATGAATGGAAACCCTTTTGTATTCTTTCCTTTTTTTTTTGCTACACTCAAGTGGTAAAATGTGGACATATTTTTTCTAACAATTTTTTTTCTTTCTCTCTCCTTATTTTCTCTTACTCTATTTATATTAATATTAAAACAACACAATTATAATAATCAGTTACAATTTTTATATAATACACAAAATAATTATTCATGCATTCGAATAAAATCAAACAATTATACAAAACAATTACACAAAATTATGACATCAATTTAATTTGTCATTCAATTGTTTACATAAACTAAATAGTTGCACCATTTAGTATTGCAACATCGTTACACCATTATGCTTTAATAATTGCATGAGACTGTGATTGTTACACCCATTAAAAAAACAGTTACACCCATTAAAAAAATAGTTACACCTATTAAAAAACAGTTACACCCATACTCCTTCATCTTCATTTTGTAGCACGAAATACCTCTAATTTTGCTCTCTCGCTCTCTGTAAACTCCTATTTTACCTCCTATTATTATTGTTAATTTGTACATATTTGTTTCCTCAAATAACTATCAATGATGATTGCATAAATTAAGGAATGATGTTTAGACAAAAGAAATTTTAATTCACTTTGAATTTTGTACCTAAACACAAATTTTTTTTTATAAAAATTGTATTTAATAGAATAAATAACTTATCCATACACTTTTGCGAAAATAAGTCTAAAAAATTAGACTCACATCTAAAATACTCTTAAGCTCATTTAATATTGAAACTTACAATTAATTTAATATCCGCATTTCTATTACATTTCTTCTTCAAGAAAAGCCCAGCAAAACTGGTCCAACATACAAGTCATGAACTCTAGTTTTTTTGGAGGTAAATTGTAAAGGGTACATCAAATTACACTTATTTATCAAAAAGTACACGCTAGAAAATGTAAGGTTATTAAGTACTTAATTTTGATACTTTTTTGTATCTAAATACATAATTTGAATTTATCTATTTTTATTGTGACATTTTTGCCTTCTATTAATCCATGTGTATATATTTGTTGTTAAATCTCTTATCTAAATTTTGAATTATCTTTGAATGTACATTGATTTATACATTTTTTTTAGAAAATAATTTTATTTTCAAATTAATTTAATATCTGAATAGTGTACTAGTGTAACAGTGTAATATTAACAATGTAATAGTATAACAATAATAGTGTAACAAGCTATTTACACAAAATATTTTACTATTACATTTTGTCAAACATATACTTTCATTCAAAATAGTCTATATCCGTTTTGAATTTATTACTATATACACAAAATTACTTAACACTGTTTTTGTTATAGTGTATTTGTTACACTGTTATTGTTATACTATTACATTATTTGGATATTAAATTAATTTAAAAATAAAACTATTTTTTTTAAAAATAAACGCTTGAATCAAGGTGCATTAAATATAATTTAAAAAAAATCACTTTAAAAAAAAAATACGCATAAATCAAGGTGCATTAAAGATAATTCAAAATTTAAATAAGAGATTTAACAACAAATATATATATATGTGTGTGTGTGTGTATATATATATATATATATATTTATACGTATATATAAACAAATATATTATATATATTTATATATACGTATATATAAACAAGTATACGCGTGTATATATATATATATATATTAACAAATACACATGAAACAAGGTGCATTAAAGATAAAAGATTTTGAATTAAATAATCTTAAAATGAACATTTATGTTTTTTTAACTCACATTTTGTTCTATGTACTTTTTGTCAAATAAGTCTAATAAAATGTACCGACTTCTAAAGAACCCTTCTTTTGGGAAACTAACATGATCTGATCCATTTACAACCCAATGCCCGACCCGTTTCTGACCATTTCGGAACATAATCAACGTGTTCAGCGTTCACAATTGAAATGCCATTTTTATCCTCCTCAGATTATCTCCAAGCATACATAATTAATCTCGTCCGTTAAAAGGGATTCATCGTGACCGTTGGACCTAGGGTTTGCGACCACAGGACCAATATATTCTCTTTCTCCATATGCTGTGACCCTTTTGTTGCAATCTTGTTTCACTCTCGGAAAAAGATCGAGGGAGCTCAGGCACTCACAAGATGGTGCAGAGACTCACATACCGAAAACGGCATAGCTATGCCACCAAATCCAACCAGCACAGGATCGTCAAAACCCCTGGTATTTTACTAAAACCCTAATCTCACATTTCTTTTCTTTCTTTCGTTTCTTTTTTCGTGTTTTATTAATGCAACGACTGCATTATTCATTTCTGCGATTTTTATTGTAGTTTACTACTGATCCCCCCCAAAAAAAGATTGTGGTTTACTGATCTGAAAATCCCTAGATTTTGTTTACCATTTTATGTGTGTTGATTGCAAAAATGTGACCATGAAATAAGTTTAATGTGCTGAGCTTTGCAATAAACTTGTATTTATCAAAAAAAGCACTAGTGTGCTGTTGGTGTTGTGGAATTGGTGTTTGGTAACTCATTTGATCTAAATATGTGGTGATTTAGGAGGGAAGCTGGTGTACCAAAGCACCAAAAAGAGAGCTAGCGGACCCAAATGTCCTGTTACTGGAAAGAGAATCCAAGGGGTATGTTTCTTTCTTGGTTAACTTTCGGAATTTTTTGGGGTGTATATACATGCGATCACATTAAGAGTGCCAATAATACAGTCTGCTTTATGTTGGATGACCATTTACAAAACTGCATGTAGATAATGAAAACTCTGTATATTATTGGGTAATAATGCTCAAATGCGATAGCTATCTATATATGCACACACATAGATTGCTATAAATAAAAGTGGACCTGTATGGTAGAGCACATGGATGCTAGATTTACATGTTTGGCAACAATTGTTTTGTGGTCACTCATGCAGTGGAAAGTGTGTGGTCCACTTATGAAAGTTGAATAATTCCCTTATTGTATGCAATTATCTAATTGCATTATGGTATTTGTGGAAATCAAGAAAATATGAGCGCCCACCAAATTGTGTCTGGTTATATAGGTCTTAGATCATCTTCACTCTCCGTTACATAATACTAGTATTTCTTGTTTAGGTTTAAGCATTTTAGAGATTGTGGATATTTGTCCTTTTTCATTTCTGAATCCTTTCTAGGACTTGTGACTATACCCAAGTTATGGTTTATCAGTTTTGGAGTTTGGCCGCAACCCAATGGAACCTTACCTATGCCGAGTCTCACTGTTGGAATTATCATGCCTACCGAGTGTACTCTCTATGATAACTTTTGCTTGTGCTACCATGGGTTGGCAAATCTTTAGTATGCTAAATTTCTTGCTTGAATGCTTTTTTATTATTGTAATTTACATTTGCCTTTTCAAACCATGATCTTAATTGTAGCTTGGTTGACCGTAATTGTTTATTGTTGGTATCTCAATTTCTTGTGAGTGATATGACTGAGGTTTTCTTGCACTTCACTGTTGGTTTTTCTGTATTGAATACATTTTTTAAATGCTTGTACTCTTGTCCTAGTCATGAATCTTTTTGGGGTAAGTTTCTTAGTCATGATCTTAATTTTTGCATTCCAGTTGCCATTTATGTATTACAATACTGGCCAATTAGCATGGTTTGTTGCCTTCTGTACTGTAGCACCTTCAGTCCATTTGCACTAGTAGTTAGTTCTTTTACCTCGTTTTCCCTAAGTTGGAATTGCTAGCACTTGTTATTGTAATATGAATGACTTGCTATAACCTTCCCATTTTATTCTTTTCATTTAAAAATTTCATGTGTGCGCAATCAGATTTGTGTGATCTTGATCTCCATGGAATTATGAGAAATATCTGTGTCCCAAACTCCTTTGCTCTCAATTTTACTTTAAACTGTTTGAGTCAAAGCGATGCAGATGCCTTATGTAGTTATGTTTGAGCAGTTTCATTATAGACCCTTCAAAGATATTTATTTTCATTGTATAAGTGATTGAATTTGGGGTTCAAACAAGACTTTGTTGAGTTGAGTTTAAATGTATATTTTTGGGATCTCTTGGCAGATTCCTCACTTGAGACCTGCTGAATACAAGAGGTCTAGATTATCTAGGAATCGCAGGACAGTGAATCGTGCCTATGGTGGTGTATTGTCTGGAGGTGCTGTCAGGGAGAGGTATGTCACTGTGGTCATTAGGTGTCGGCTTCTGTTATGTTAATTTCTAATAAATAGTTCACAATGTGGTGGTGAATTAAGTAAATGTTGAAAAATATTCATTTAATTTAATATTTTATTTTTGGCTAGGATCATCCGAGCCTTCTTGGTTGAAGAGCAAAAGATTGTGAAAAAGGTCCTGAAGATCCAGAAGGCGAAGGAAAAGCAAGCCTCAAAGAGCTGAATGAGAGAATGATAATGCAATAGCTTATTGAATTGTGATATTTTGGAAGGAAAATTTTTGACTTCGATGATGACGATGATGAAGAAATGTGGAAAACATTATGTTGAGGTTCCTCTAAATTTGAAAATTTGTGTCTACTTTAACTTTGTACGAGACTTATTATATGGATGTTTGTTTACTTGTCGACAAACTGACTTCCAGAAATGTTTTATGATATTTTTGTGCTTTGGTGTGTCCAAAAAAATAAGAATGTTGATTTACAATTGTTTTCTATTTTTGCATTAATACTAGTTGCAGATGGGTGTTCTGATTATTGTTTTTTTGGGTGGAGCTCTTTTCTAGGGATTGTTTGGGTATATGGAACTTAATTATGCCAAATTCACCTGTTAGTAGACAGATTATTCAGGCCTGGAGCTTGCCTGATAGTTGTTTGCGTACATAAATGGCCCATCAAGGCTGAAATTGGATAATAATTTGTCGTCAGAAGGATTTATTCATTTATTGCTTGGGACCCAATTTCAAAATTACAATACAGGGGAAGTAAATGATCCTTTGTTCATATGATTTTGTGGCAGACAGGTGGTTGGTTCCTTGTAACTCCTTTGCCATTGGCGCTGTATTATACAGAATGCTGTAGAATGGGTGCTTTTCATCCTGTTTTCACAACTTGAGGTGATGGTACTGATGATTAACTTGAAGTTTGTGAGGGAGCATTTTAATGCTACAGATTTGCAAAGAATGCTTGTGAGAGAAGACCAACTCTAACTGATATATCTTACGGTTGTTTTCAAGTGGTTGGGTCATTGCTTTGGCTCAAGTCAAAACCTGCTTTTTGGCTTTACCTGTTTGTTGGTCTTGTTTAGGCATGAAGACCGGTAAACTCCTATGGGTTTTTTTTCCCTCTTTTTTTTTTTTGGGATAAACATACACAAGTATTAAATTCATGTAAATGTTGAATATATTTTATCCAAATTATTATATAACAGTTGCAAGAATCCAAGAACACCAGCAAGTCGAAGTTTAAGCACCAATTTCAAAAAGATCTAACGATGACCATTTCAACTAATCAGTGCTTTACTATAACCAACTCAAAAAGAGAAAAAGACCTGATGATGACCATTTGAACTAAACAGTGCTCTACAACCATAACCAACTCAAAAAAGAGAAAAAGACCTAACGATGACCATTTCAACTAATCCGAGCTCTACTATATCCAAATCAAAAAGAACCATCATGCCATGATACGCAGGAAAAATTATGTTTTTTTTTGTCCTAATATAATGGTTGATAATCGAGTCGAACATGTTAAGTATGTTTTTCTCAAGGAGCCAAAAAAAGTGTTCAAATTTGGCTCGTTTTGAAATTGAATCAAATCTAATTAGCTTGACTATTTTACATATAAACGAGCTGAATTTTGCGAGTTTGAGAGTATCCTTTTTTAGACTCATTTTGTAAATGAGTTTAAAAAATTGTTCAAATTTAACTCATTTAGAACAAGAGCCAAGTTCGAGTTAAATTTTATCCGAACCAAGCTTAAATAACTCGGCTCAATTATTAATCTTACTTAAGACTAATCTTCGATGTTCGGATTGAAGAGGAAATAAAATTTATAATATAAAATAGGAGGGAGAGCTTCAATAAGCCCATCAGACTGTTTCAAATAGATTAATTCAATGATCACCAACATTCATCTCAAGACCATTCATGTTTCACCGTGCGTTCAGGTACGAATTATCTCTATTAACAAAAAAAAAAAAGGAGATTCGAACCCATTCCCTGAAACTGGCGCCTTAGACCAACTCGGCCATCTTGACGTTACCTACTGGCTCAACAAAAAATTAACTTCTCATTAGACTGCAACATTTATTATTCACTTCAGAGCTAAAAACTGATAAGATGGAGCGTCAAACGATTGAAAAACTCGGCCCGATCCAGCCCAGCCCAAATATGTTTCTGAAATTCGCGCGCTTCTAAACATCACATTTTTTTCAGATCCCCCACAGGATTCGCTCCTCTGTTCTCTGCATTGCTTCTGGTTAGAAAGTTACATCAATCATCAAAGGGATCAATATTGCTCATACAAACCCTTGTATGTTGCGCAATGTACTCCTTTTGTTCGACCAAATCATTCACCGGTAAGTCATCGTCTTCCCTCCACGGCTCTCAATTTCAGTAGCATTGGTGACGTTATTCAGCGTAAAGTAGTTTTTTAGGGCTTAGTTATCTATCTTCTCTGTCGAACAACTTAAGAATGGTGGAGTGGGAGATTCCATAGCGTGTAGGAATTTTTGTTTTGCAGCTGTGGTTTGTTGTTTAAAACTCGCCATTGTGGACTTTTGTTCTTGCCGATGCCTAAAATTGTCAATGCCGATTTTCTGCTGCTGTGAATTTTAGTATTGTCTCAAAGTTCAAAGCTCAGTGACTCTCGATTTTTTTTATAAGAAAGTAATGAAGAAGCAAGAAATGATCTGTTCTCGGCAAAGATAGGGTGGAGATCTTGAGGCTTAATTGAGAAGCAGCTGGAAAGAACTGCAGAAGTTGAATTAGTTCTCGTTGATTGCCACTGGTTTTTGTATAAATAGTGATTGGTGAGTTAAAGACATAAAGTATAAGAATGGCCTAGATTAAGTTGTATAAACCAAAGACCAGATAATTTGGCTCCTCCAGAGACGATTGCGAGGGAGTATGAGATCTGTTACTAAGGTTCGGTAGTTTTTATGTTACGCATGAAATTAGTGAATTTTACAAACATTGAGCTCTCTTTTGATTACAATCTCCGTCGTACTGATTTTCTTTGTGATATTAGATCACAAAAGAGAGAGGCATATGAACCTCAGGGACTCGTGTTTATCGAAAAAATTTTGTGCCGTTACCAGCATTTTCGTTGGGAGATGTTTGAAATCGTACCTATATTTTTCTTTCCAGCTCAGTCTGGAACTTCGTAAGATGCATAAAGGATACTTGCATTTTCACCTCAAACCGTGGTGCATTGACAATTGTGATCTGTTACATTATAGGTTCATGGGAGATTCTTACCAGTCCAGTTTTGGATTTCATGTAATCGTTGAAACAATCCAGATGGACAACAAAGTGGACAGATATATCATTTGTTAAATGCCAATCCAGGTAAATTTATATTGTGCTCCTATATATTTTTCTCTATTACTGGATCTCTATTTCCTGCCTTGCTCCATTTAGTATCTCTGTCTGCAATGTTATTTTGTTTAATATAAGGTGCTAAAAGCTCTTCTAAGATTATTAGTTTCTGTTATTCTCCAGTCTTGCATACTGTTTAGGCATGTGTTGCTGTTTTTTTTCCCTTCTGTTAATTTTAAATGTAATTAATAGATGTTAATTTCAACAAGCAAAGTATAAAAACGTTTGTAACTTCTGGTTTTTAATATGTGTAGTGAAAATATAACAGAAAAATAAGAAAAAGGACAACAGAAAGAGTAGAATTAAATATTCACGCAAGCACATTATGTTGAATATAAAAGCCTGTACAGTAAAGACTGTGAACAAAACATTTTATGATATAAGCTTTGACTTGCCTAAGCCAACACTAGAAGTGACCTAGTTTCTTAGTTTTCCATTCAGTTAAGTATAAGATTTGTTGTTTGCTGAAGAAGTAGTGGACATCTCCCTAGGATGGAGGAGAATCCAAGAACAAATTAGGCTTCCATGTATCAGGCAAACTGGATGGAAAACTGAAAGGAAATTCAATTGATCGGGCATTTCCCCATTGGTTATTAACATGGGTTGCACTATGATTCTTCCTCAACCCTGTATCGTCGTCTCCCGTTCCTATGCTTCCTTCTAGATCTAGTTGCGAACTGGTTGGAAATCTGTTGAACTGCTGTGCTTGCCCCGCAAAGACAATACTCCCTGAGGTTTTACTATCATCCCCGATAAAGGCAGGGGACAGATTAAAAAGCATGGAGGCAATGTCAACTGGGTGCCTGTTGGTTGGCCCTGACATTTCCAGAGGTGAAAACATGAAGCCACCAGGAAGATCTCCAGTTGGAATGCAAAAAGGAGATGGTTTGTAAATAGTTGAATTCATGGGCTTATATGAGGGAATATCAAGAGCAGAAAAACTAGCGGTTGAAGCCTGTTGTAGGTCATTATTGCTGCATAACTGGATGCCTGATCCAGTTTCAGTTATGCAAGAAATATTTCCTGAACTGAAATCAGTAGAGTATGAGCCTTGGGTGAACATATCAGATGCTGTAGTTTCAGGTAATGGAGAGACCCAAGAGTGAGAAAGAGTTCTCTGCGCCATTGAATTGGTCTTTTTGAATATCCTACAAATTGCCCATGAATCCTGCTGGTCAAAGTACAGAAAAAACTTAACAAATGATATAGTGAATTGTATGCCACATAGTTCAAAAGTGAAGCAAAACTTGAACCATAAAAACTATAGTGGACTTACATTTGCAGGAAGGTTTTTATCCAAGAGCCTCTTGGCTGGTGCTGAATCAGATATAGAAGGTAGTCTGAACTCATGCATCATCCAGTCTGTCTTTATCCCTTTGGCAGCTCTTCCCTTGTAGAACACTAGGGACTTCTTCAAACCAATGCACCTAATGCCATCTGAGGAGTATATGGGCCGGTCTGTTCCAGTTGCCTTCCAGAATCCAGCACATGTGACACGGTTTGGCCGTGCACTATTCCTGTATTTGCGGTCCCTTGGGCAGTAGAAATACCACTCTTTCTCCCCGGTAGATGCCAACTCTGGTGAAAATTTTTGAGGGAAAGGGAAGCAAGTTCTTTTAATTAGCAGTTGCTCAGCACTTATAAGTTTCATATTTAGAACTTAGAAGTAGTTGAATAAAGGACTAGAACTTGTGGAGGTTGTGTCAGAAGTTTCAGCTGATTAGATAGGAAGAGGTTAGCACAGAGCTTAAAAAGTGGATTTATTATTTTGTTCCATGGAACATTTGACTTCAAATATAATGACGCTACTTTTGTTCGCTTTCAGAACATGACAAGTGAATCCTCCAAACGTTAAGCAGATAATTGTAACAGCTAGTATTCAAAAGAAGGAAATAGCAAGAAAACTGTTCACGTGTGCAGGTAGCCAAAATAAAATGGCAAAAAGAAAAGAAAATCTTTTTCCATTTGAACTATTCCAACCTTGTAGTCAAGTATTCAAGAAAGAAGACCAAAGACGATGGTTTTTTTTTTGGGCTCAGCAAGTTTTAGAGAACACTATGCATGAGAGATGGTTTATCTTACTTGGGAGATCCCATGGGTCGTATTTGTAAATGTCCACTTGCTTTATGAGCTCAATAGGAATAGATTGCTGCTGAATCTTTCTCATCAGGTAGAATCCAACAAGCTCCTCGTCTGTAGGATGAAATCTAAAACCAGGCAACATCACTTCGTCAATCTTATCTACTTCATTTTTCTCATCCATCTTTCAGTTCCTTCTCGTCAAAACCTCCACTCTAAACAAACTCTCAAGAGAGATGAAAAGTTTCAGAGACACCGCCAAGTCTCTGAAGTGAACTTGTAACCGAGTATTATAACCCCCAACTCTGAAACTTAGAGCAGGTTCTGTGTTAGTGGGAGAAGCTTTAGGAGTGTAAGCTGTGAAGCTGTTTTTGATATGAACTCAGAGAAATAGTTTACAGTACAATAGACTTATTTTAAAGACATTATATGGTTCTTCAGAAGGGGTCTGCCTCCGAAGCTTCAGCCAACCTTTCTGGGTGGTTGTAAGGGAGACTCTGTTTCTGTGAGAATCACGACAACTTAATGAGAAGCTTAACCCAAGCTCTCTGTTTAAAACAAAGCAGCCAAGGAACCCAAGTCAAGGCCATGGACTTCTAATGAAACTCATCTCCCTTTGTTTAAATGCACGTTTATGATCTCTAAGAGACTACAAAATCAGTTGTGTATGGGGATATGTTTTCACACCTCCTTGGCGCTCCAATTGTATGCTTCTCCTTAGATTTTCTTGCTATCAAGACAAAAGGACAAAGCAAGCGTCTCATAATATAAATTTATGGCCTTATTAAAATATTGCGTCTGAATTGTTTTTTGTTGCCTATGCACAGAAACATTTCCCAATACAATAGCTCAAAATTATATTCAATCTAGAGATCCCCTCGAATAAATATAGTTTCTGGTGTCCTTGGATCGAAAAACGCACTTTCTATTCCATTCTTTGTAACTGCCAGATATGAACACGTGACTAGTCAGTGAGCTTATTTGGGATTTATAGAGATTCCTTAAACAGGTATGAGAATAGTAAATAAATACTTGACCCTTGAAGGCACAAGTGGACACCCAGAAACTCCCTTTCAGTGCTGCTAGAATAAACTGCGTTCCTATAAGCTTGTACGCTTTTCAGTCTGCTGGTTAGGAGGTTTAGGTGCAATTCAGGTCTTGTGGGTGGGTGGGTGGAAGGAAGTTCCCAGTTCCCACATGTCATGACTACTTTGTCCTCATTTCTGTAACTTTTTGATTCTCCTATATATATGGAAAGAGGGTGGAAAGTCGAGGGAGAGAAAAGCAGGGGATCATGGAAAGTTTTGACAGAAAGAAATTTCTAATTCTTAATTCTTTTGAAATGGCATAGTACTAGTATTTTCCAAGAGGTATGAACATGGGTTGCACCCAATTAATAATTTTATTTTTTTAACCGAGAGATGTTCAAATTTCTTAAACCCCTGTCTAATCCTACACATATATGCAATCCTCCTATTCTACATACACTATGTAATTATGGGATAGGTTTGACTCCAAGAGGTTGGAAAGATTCGAACTCTTATGTTGAAGTGGAGTTCATGGAATCCTGGAGGTAGTTGAAGTAGTAACAACTAACAAGGACGAATTGTAAATTTAGATGTCTTGAGTTTGAATCTTTGTAATCCCTTAGGTCAAACTATGAGAAATTTATCCTTTATGAACATTTTAATTCCGACGTGGATGACCTATCTTTGATCAAATCGAAGAGAAGATTAATCGATCTATGGATAAGCTCGTCCGAACACTTTGACCATTGAATAAAAAACAAATATGGAATACATGCGTTGAGCCAGCCTGTGATATTCTCTCCTTCGAGACTACAACACCTATTTTTAACACTCATTTAAAATCTAGTAGAATGGTAACTTGGCTTTCCACTTTCTAATCAAGACAAATGCCCTAATCATTAAGAGTAAACTTCTTTTCTGCGTAATTTTTGACATTTGCATAAGTTTGCTAAACCGTGTCTGCTAGAAGGAGAACAAGCAGCGACCCATAAAATAAAGAAATGAGAGTGAAATGGCCAAATGGGAACGCCCGCCAAATTGAGTGAAATTCCCCAAGTTTGGGCCTCGTTTGAAATCCTTATTTTCTTTTTTCATGGCCTAGGTCTTGCGACCCATGCGAGCTAACCAAGTTGAAGAATGGGTCAAATTCTTCCACCCAAGGCTTACCATTTTCGTTGTGTAATATAATTCCCTAATACAACCATGTTCCCAACGTAGTAATTTTTTTATTATATTATTTTTTTTAAGTTCAAAAGTTAAAAGTATCCAAACCAATTTACGTGTACATCCATTAATTCCTCTTTGGTCCGATCAAATACAAACTATCTATATTAAGATTAGGGTATTCACGAGGAATATAAATTTTTCATTGCTTACTCTTAAAGAATTGTCAAGATTCGATATCTAAATTTACAACTTTTTACTGCCACTTGAACCTTAAGATTTCTTATTATATTGCTGACTATTACCAAGCTCTATTATCCCCCCTCCCCATTTCCATTCAATTGGATGCTTTAATCTCTTGAGTCTATCATTTGGGAATCCAAATCTTATCTAATATTTATTTTCTGTAGAGGGTCACGCTTTACGTATAAGTAGGTCTCTCAACTATAAATGATAGGGGATCTATCTAGAAGGAAATTGAATGAAAAAGTAATAGAGTCTTCCTCTGCAAGATATTGTCATACCCTTTCTCTAGTTATTCTTTATATAAATATTAGTTTGATTTAATTTAGTAGTTCAAGTAGTAACAAAAATGCACAGTAAGTTTAGATGTTTTAAATTCAAATTTTAGCAACTCTTTGGAGCTTAGTTATGAAAGATTTATCTTTCATAAATACCTTATTTTCAATGGTTGAAGTGCGCGTAAGCTAACTTAAACATTCATAATCCTTGAACCAAAAAAAAATTGTGAGTTTGCACAACCTTAGGCTATTTCATCCGTTAAGCTATTGAAGCATTAGTCTCAAGTTTAATGGCCTATAGAAAGTAGAAGAGCAATGTTACTGAGACTTTATTTACTGACATAATTTATTGACTTAATTTAGTGTAACCTTTGAATTCAATTTAAATCCTATCAAACTCAACTTGCAGTCGTGCACTAGATTGAATAAGTCAGGAGCTGTTTATAGCTTATCCGTTCACATAATCAAGTTGCGTGGGAGGGTCTCAGGATCCTGTGATTTCTCATCCGACTTTTTGTATTTTTTTTTAATCTCAATATTTATGTCATAATTCTCTCAACTTCCAACGTTTTCTTCTCTTGTAACTTCTTCTCTTCCTCTCATCTTCTCTCTAGGAGCAATAAACTAAGTAAGGGTGGGGGAATATGCTAGAATAGGGACAGGATGATGGAGGTAAATTTCAACCCTAATGGTATCTCAAGTAGTACTAGGGATGAATTATAAACTCGAATGTCTTTAGTTTGAAGTTTGTCAATTTTTTAGGGTCAGGCCACGAAAGATTATATTATAATCTTGACGTGAATGACTTGCTTTTGACCAGATTAGGCAGAAGATTAATCGATGTGCATGTAAGTTGACTCATACACCCTTGGTCGTTAAACCAAAAAGACAAGGAAGTAAATTTTGCGGGAATGTTTCTATTTATTTGTGTGGGACTTGAGATTGTTTTTGAAAGCAACTTGCCTTAATTTAATCAATCAAGCATATTATTAAACTTAGTTGCTAACATTTTAAGTTACTATTCACACCTTATCTTATTGTAAGAGCCGAGTAAGGACACCAGTGTACAAATCTCTAGCTAATAAAAACTCTTAGATATCTATCAATCTTGGGTTCTCATCCTAAATTTTTGGAATTAAAAAAAAGAGTAACTTGTTTTTTATGTGGTTTGTGTTTGAAGAAAAGATGCATATCTATGAAATAGATTGGAATTTGGCCTGGGGTAATATCAGTTTGCTTGTGAACTTCAAGATACCTTTGTAGTGTCTTTAGGCTTGGGAGCAAAAGACAATAGAAAAATTGAACTTGAGCTTGACAACTATAGAAGTATACGCTTATTCTCCAATTTAAAATGTTTATTTTAAATAGTACACTTTGATGGTCTGATTTACTTGGGACCCCTTAATAGGAAGTGTCCCATCGATAAAATGGTCTACCAGATAAGTTGATTGGCTTGTGGGTTAAAAGCGGTTAGGAAAATTAACCAATTGACGTCAGCGAAAAAAAAAATTGAACCGAATCAATGGGATCTTGGAGACAAATGCTTTCATAAGCATGAAAATGATATTAATCATACTAATCAATGATGATAATTATTATATCTATATTTGAAGATGATGCTATCTTGTTGGAGTTGCCTTGCTAGATATAATTAGGTATGCATTGATGTTTTCCTTTACGACTTGGTGAGGGAGGGAAAAAGGAGGGTTTTTTTTTTGTGGGGGGAGGGGGGGGGGGGGTATTCTATGCATGTCTTGCTACAAGTAGACACATTTTATCTACAATAAGTATAGTAGCCCACATCAACTAAAAAATATTTAATAAAATGGTGATACGACATATTAATGATGATATGATATCATGATTATCTAGTCGCCCAGGAGACACTTGCCTACTGTTATTATACATTAGTCACAATTCTGATTGATGTTTACCCCATGTGTGACAAAACACTTTCAGTCCATTTAAGCTCTTCCGGAAAGAGCTTCTATCGTCATTGTTTGGACATTCTTTGACAAGCAATTAGGATTTTCTAGCATTTAGTGATTGAATATGAGAAACTTCTGCTCACTAGTCACTAATTTGTCGTCTAATCACACCAATTAGTTCATACACCGACCCACCCTCAAACATAAAAATATTACCCAAATCAAAACAAAAAAATAATATATTAAGCAATTTAGATGAACCAAATCACGCTTAATGAATTTAGATGAACCAAATGATGCAGCTTTATGAGAATGTGTAGTAATTGTATTAAATAATTATTCATCCATGTCATGTAATAACTATCCATATAAAATTCACTTGTTCATTTGTTATTGGATGATTACACCTAATATTTACTCGTAGTTTAAGAGCTCAGCTATCACGTAATTGGAAGCACTCTAATTATTGCAATCGCCTTAACGTTCCAACGCATCAATCACTTTCCTGGATAAAATAAAGTAGGCATCAAATAATAGACTGGGCGATGGTGGCTTAGCAATTGTAATAAGCCAATAATTGTTAACACATCTTGTATGGATATACATATTCATATATTTAATAAGAGTAATGTTACACTGACCAAATTTTGGGACCAAATTTAGAGCTCAAATGACATAGCGGTTGACTTAGACTTCTTTGATTGATGTCATATCATTTGAGCTCTAATAAAAATTTCAAATAATTAACTGTCATGTCATTTGGGCTCTAAATTTGGTCTCAAAATTTGGTCAGTCTAGCATTACTGATTTAATAATCCATGGCAACTAAAGATGGCTTATGCTTAATAAGTCGAACCTTAATTATTTTTATGCATTTGAGTAATTCTTGCTTTGAACTTTCATATGTGTGTGAGTCTTGAGATGTTGCAGTAGCAGGACACCATATTTATGTGTTCAAAGAGTTTACAAAACACAACTTATTACTACTACTTTGTTCGGCTCAAAAAGACTTTTTTTGGGTGAAAAAAACTTGTATTACTTTAGTGTGCTTTGAGAAATTCTTTTTTTGGCTTAGCTTCTGAGAAATCCAAACGATAACTTCGACATCCAAGTCATTGTGCTTTATATGTTTGCATTACCAATAGTTTTCGTTCATTTTCGGCCCAAATGGCAAGCTATCACCGATTTAGTTTCATAAAGATATCGAAGTTTCATTTATTAAAAAGACTAGGTTTTGGTGCGACGAACAAAACATAGTTCTTACCAAATCTACGATATTAATTCGATCTCCATTAAATCTTTTAATGGTCCTCATCCCCCTTAAGAATAGATTATATGTCGTTATACATCACTATACTAGTTATTGTCTGTGTAAAAAAAATTGTCAGTTATAAATATATTTATATTCATATTTAAAATCAAATCACAAATATAAAAGAGAAAAAAATGAATTTAAGCATCGGTTGCAGTGAATATGAGCATTGACAATGGTGGTGGTGACAACCATGGTGGGAGTAGCTATCGTGAGTGACAACGGTGATGGGTTTTGAATGACGATGGTGATAGTGACAACCATGAGTGACGACAGTGGCGGTGGTGAGTGTGAGTGATAATTGGCGACAGTGATTTTGGTTGGTAGTGGTGGTGGTGGTGAGGTGACGATGGTAGTTGTGGCTACGGTGGGTTATGGTGGTGGACGTTGACGGATGCTTGTGGACAACAATAGTGGTGAGTGGTGGTAGGTGTGGTGAGGGTGAATGGCGACAGTGATGGGTTGTGGTGGTAGGTGTGGTGAGGGTGAATGGTGACAGTGATGGATGGTGGTGGTAGTTGTCCAGGGGGGGGGGGTGACAATGGGTGATGGTGATGAGTGTTGGTAGTGAGTGATTGCAATGGTGAGATGATGATGGTAGAAGTAATAAATATAAAAATAAGATGATAATTGTAGTAAATTGTGACTGTGTACAGTGGTGGTAACAATTGGTAATCGTGATGGTCGTTGTGACAAAGGCGGTGATTGGGTGGCGAGTGGTGGCAACGGGGGTAAAATGTTTTGTAAATAAGTGATTTTAAAGAAATAATTTTTTTTATATTATTATTTACTTATTTAAGTGATAAAATTATTTTGAATTATTTGAAAATAAGTAGAATAAATTATTTTAAAAACTACTCTTTTTTTTAAATGCTTATAAGAAATTATAAGTATTAGAAGTAAAAAAATTACTTTAAACACACCTTTAATAAATTTGTTTTTCTTATTAAATTTGAAAATTTAATATTAATTGTCGAATTAATTTTAAAATAAAATTTAAAATAATCTTAATCGCAAAAAATAAAAATTATTTTTTATGTTATACTTTATATATAGACACACACACATTAATAGAGGCGTTTAGGCTAGAAGTACTTGTTAAACGAAAAAATATTGCGTGTAACGATTACATTACATTTTGTTGACATGATATAACTATTTAATAATAATACAATATGTAAATAAGTGAATTTCACAGGAGATAATTACTATACGACATGGATGAGTAATTAAATAATTACGTGAAACTCACTTACCTACATGTTTTATTATTGAATGGATAACGTCTTTTTCAAGTTGGGGTATTAAATATTATGCTAAGAAGAAAAATCGAGAAAAAAGGTTCAGGCGAGACCTGAACAAGTTTGAAATATAATAGTCAGTGAGGTATAAAGAAACATAAGGATCAGTTGAACAACTTTGCCGTCCCATTTCCACTCGATGAAAAAGAGAAATTTATTCCCTTAACCACCAAAAATTCTATTTATTGAACATCCTCTTGATCCATTCTAAACGTGGAAATGTAATGGAAGGATAGAAAAGCATATCGTAAGAACTAGAAGTCTCCTATGTTTAAGATGAAAAAGATTTATCGTATGAAGGAGGATCCAGAAAAATACAATTAACTTAATGGAGCTGATTTTATAGTCTTGAATGGTAATAGCTAGAGGCCTTTGGCAATAAATGTAAAACCCCATGTCCCTCNGGGGTAGGTAATAGTGTTGTACAAGTTGGGAAGCTACAAGAAATCAAATGGAATTTTACCTGAATGGCTATCTTGCAGGAATAGGTAAACGTTACCCATTGTCATGACTCTTTTTCCTCTAGCATTATAGGCAGCTCCAAGCTCTCATTGCCCCTCTGGATCTTTAGGACAACTTTATCCCCTATACTATAGTCATCTAATGCTTTATACAATTCTGCTTTACTCCTAACCTGCCCAACCAGCAAGAAAATACGTAAGTTGTTACGAATTTCACAAGAAAAGACAGCATAAGAAACAAAAGAAAGGNTAAGCAAGTCCGTACCCCTGTTGGCTGGCCTTTCTTACCTAGACTTTCTTGTAAAGCCCAAGACCAAAGCAATGGGTTTCAGAAATTCTGGCAGTTACTTGTGAAGATCCCTAATAATCGGAATATGGGCAGAATTTTGATTTGTCTGTAATCCAATCTGCCGAATAATTCTTTCCAACCAATCTAATTNGTAGAGATGTTAAAAGGACTTTTTGGCCTCAAAACTAAAAATGCAAACACAGATATAGGTTTAGAATGTGTTTGATGTAAGATGGAGAGTTGAACCCTGCTATGCAGTACAACCTTCACAGAGCTTTACTAGCTAAACCCAGGAAGCATCTTCAGAGGAACGTTAAAATCAAGTTTGCATGGTGGTGTAAAATTTACTTTGTGATGGAAAAAAAATCAAAGAACTTCGTTACATGCAGAGATTAAACTTTTCACGACTTCTGTTTACATCGCTTTTACAAATAGAATCAGTATTATCCTATCAAGGGAAAACCTGTGTATGTCTAGACAATCAATTTTATCCTATTAAGGGAATATGTGGATTTGCCTATCCAACGCTTTTGGGCCTATCAGCATTTGAGGTAGTTTGGTTCACATATAGGTATATCCTTTTCTTGCCAATATCTTTTATTAAACAAATGTTCTAATGCCTAATAGGAGATCCAGGAAACTGCTCTCTGCACCCCGCGTAGGGCTCCACCAGGCAATATGTTTTGGTGAGATGGTTCCTTCATGAAACAATATCCTAGGATGGAAGGTTCACTGCAGATGACTTGATATATGAGCAAAATTCTTCCTTTGAAGAACATTTTTATTCCTACAACTGGCCCTTATTGTCCTTCAAACACATAAACCCCCACTCTAGCACAAAGAAATCATTCACTTTGATTTTATTAGCATTGAGTGGTAAACTTTAATGAAAGTATTCCAGTTATAGAATTTCAGATATTTGAAGTGGCTATGGTGTTTTGACAATAATTCTCAACATGTCATGTGTGAAATGGATGCTGAGCAGCGGGAGTAAGGTATTATGAAATCTATACAGCAAGCTTTCTAGGTTTATAAATGCTGATTCGAGGGCCAAAACAAGTGAAAGAGGATGGGGATGGTGAAGGCCTGGTAATTAAAAGTAAAGGTTATTTGGGTTGGTTGTTCAGGGAGCTGTTCCTACGTTATGAACAGTAACACGTGGGAAGAGAATGCTTGGATTTTGTAATATATCTATATCCTTGGAGGAATGCTTGTAAGTGCAGATTCTTGGAAGAAAGAGAGAGAAGCTAATAGGAAGAATGCTCAAAAGGGTGAGGAAACATCGCACAATCATAACAAAAATTCCCATGAAGTCTTTGAATTAATGGGATTATAAAAAATATTTATACGTAAAAGACACTCTTACTCCTAAATATAGAAACTAAAAATATTTGACTAGGAATATTGTAAACCACCTAAGACTCCAAATAAAATTCTAACAATATTCCTTGACCAAGGTTATGGCCTACAGATTATGAATACTATTCATTTTCAATAATTATTGAAATGATCAAATACCCTTCACACCAAAAAATAAACAAAACATCAAAAAATCTGACCAGTAACATACTAAAGCTCTGTTTCGTATGATGAAAAAAAGGAAAGATAAAAAATTGGAGGAATAGATAAGAAAGAAAAATAAGAAAGAAAATGGATGAAAAATTAATTATTTGTGTTAAAATATATTTTATTTATCTATATAACATTTGATATATATACATACTAGTCACAATCTGTGCCTGAAAGTACGATGTAACATAAAATTTAAGCGCCGAAAAAATCGACCCTACTATATCAAATATTAAATTTTTTTCCTTCGTTTTATTTAATTACATAATTTAAAATTAATTCTACAATTTATTTTTTGAAAAAAAAATTTCCCAAAATTTTCTCAAAACATATGACCTCAAAAAAAAAATATAAACATATGTATACTATTGTATATTAGCAATGTCTAAATTAAATGATTCAACTTGTGATACAAATAGGTGATGTCAGAGAAATAAACAGAAAAAATACATAGGGATAAAATTCAAAATGTTAGCTATCTTATTATATAGATATTATGTATACATTAATTTTATATACAAATAAAATGATAAAATATGTGTGTGTGTGTGTGTGTGTATAAATTAAAAATAAAAATTAAAAAAAATCCAAAATAAAATCAAAAAAAATAAAAATAAAGATAAAAACATTTTTTCCATCTTACTAAGCACAAAAAAAATTAATTATTTTTATTTTCTATCCATCCGATCAAATATAAATGAAAAAAAGTGTATCATTTCTACTTTTCTTTCTTAAAGGATAGAAAGTGTATCCCTCATATTTTTTATCATTTCTACCAAACGGAACATAAATTAAACTATATAAACTACCACAGACACTTTCCTTTAGACCAAAAAGACCTTTGTGGGGCCCATCTCCTGCTATAGGCTTCCAAAGCCCATGGTATATGTCCAACGGTCCACCCAAACATTAGATATTGCATCAAGACATAAATAACAATCTCAACCGCTACAACNGCCCATGGTATATGTCCAACGGTCCACCCAAACATTAGATATTGCATCAAGACGTAAATAGCAATCTCAACCGCTACAAGAAGGAGAAAAACTAACTTAAAAGCTAATTATAAGCACGCAAAAATCACAATATCTTTGGGTGGGCCAACTCAGGCTGATGTTTTCATAAATCGAGTTTTCCCCCCTCAATGTATTATTTATGCATGAAAGCAACTTTTTCACCAAGAACAATCGCCAAATACCATATACATGCACAGAAAGTCATCAACACGTGCAGAAACTGCCATTAAAAAAATGGATAACATAGAAGCAGAATGAGAAACCCTATGGATTTTGGTCCGGAGCTTTAGACGGAATACCAAAAAGACAAACCAAGTTAAAGAGGTCGTGTTCAATTCCTGAGGTGAGGAAGGACAGCATAGCAATGAGACGGCTTTTGTAGCTTAATGATAAGGAAAACATATACAATTAGTAGAAGCACAATTGGAGTAAAAGAAAGCTCACAGGTTTGTTGTCCACTGCCACGACGATATCCCCTAGTACAATATTACCAGCAAAGCCCCTCGTAGTGGGAAGAAGACCAGCTTTGGCTGCCAGACTATTCAGAGGAACCTACAGCACATCCTGATTAGGCCAAGCAAAAAATGGTCTTGCAGCAATAGAAGAAATTCAAACTTGAATTAGAGTAAAATACATAAAAGAAATTATAACACAATATGTTCTATTATCGAGGCATACCAGCAGAATCAGAGCTCCATTTCGTACATTAAGTTGATTTGCAATCAGGTCTGGAGCAATATCAACATTTAAACCAGCTCGCACAACCTAAAATACAAAGGACACAAGGATTATAAAGAAGCATGTTGGAAACCAGTTTTCTTTTCTATTTTTTTGCCAAAAAAAAGTTCAAATGCCCATTTTCTAAAATTCAATAGTAACTCCTAAAGCCAAAGTTCTGTAATGAACAAAGAAGATTTCAAGGGTGAGATCAGCAGAGAATTAGAATTACGAATATATATGCATAAAACCCAGAGAATGTAAAAGAAAGGTTTCTGCACTAGAAGCAAGCAAAAATCCCAACTGTGTAAAGAAATAGCACAACATACTTTTCCAAATTGGATCAGCTGAGGCACTATCTTTACCACGGTTAAGGATGGAATGGCAAACCCTACACCTGCTGAAGTCCCTGCCAAAAATAAAAAAATAAAAAATTGTCAATGGATGGAGAAATGATTCATTTTGAAAACACCCAGAAGAAATATGGAGTTAGAGATTAAGCAAATAAATATAATGGAGTCTACAAGCATGAACTAGAAATTCAATCACATTTTTCTCTTGAAATTTGGAAGCATATGTAATTGTACAACTTTCATTGTTCTCTTGAAATTTGGAAGCATATGTAATTGTATGTAAAGAAAGAATTTACCTGTCTGAGTATATATTGCAGTGTTAACCCCAATTAAATTCCCACGAGAATCCAACAGAGGACCTCCACTGCCACAATCACAGGGGACAGTATAAATGTTGTGAGGCACAATTTACACAATCTATTACTGATGAAATGTGAAAGANGGACAGTATAAATGTTGTGAGGCACAATTTACACAGTCTGTTACTGATGAAATGTGAAAGATATCTGGAAAAGGTATTGAAAATAGATTGAGTCCAGTTACATTTAATGGTTGGATATTTTATTTTCAATTCTTTTGGGGGCAGGGGCAGGGCAGGAGGGGGGAAGGAGGAGAAATATNGATATCTGGAAAAGGTATTGAAAATAGATTGAGTCCAGTTACATTTAATGGTTGGATCTTTTATTTTCAATTCTTTTGGGGGCAGGGGCAGGGCAGGAGGGGGGAAGGAGGAGAAATAACGGCTAGTAAATTCTTTCGCATCAGAATGAGAAGTTACAAAAGACCTGTTTCCAGGATTGATGGCTGCATCTGTTTGAACTCCTCCACCAATTGTGACTCCAGTTTGACTAAATATGTCTCGATTTAGTCCACTAATAACCCCGACAGTGAGTGTGTGATCAAAGCCAAATGGATTTCCAATGGCTAAACACTGTTGGCCAACTTTTAAAGATGATGACTGCCCCACCTTTATTGGCCTCAATAGATCTTCAGAGGCTTCCACCTGGCGTGTTGAAAGATCTATCAAGTTAAAGACCTCAGTAATCATACACTATAAACCAACTGCAAGAATATGCTCACCAAACAAATTTTACTGACTAATAACGTCCATAATTAATTCAAATCACATATTGCATTTGTAGCTGACTAGCCGTGATGCCACAAGTTGACAAACTAATCAAGCAAACTTTAGAGATAAAGTCAGATTTTCTTTCGGTTTGTCCAATAGGGGAAGTAGAAAGCAAATCAGTTCAATNAACTAACTTAAAAGCTAATTATAAGCACGCAAAAATCACAATATCTTTGGGTGGGCCAACTCAGGCTGATGTTTTCATAAATCGAGTTTTCCCCCCTCAATGTATTATTTATGCATGAAAGCAACTTTTTCACCAAGAACAATCGCCAAATACCATATACATGCACAGAAAGTCATCAACACGTGCAGAAACTGCCATTAAAAAAATGGATAACATAGAAGCAGAATGAGAAACCCTATGGATTTTGGTCCGGAGCTTTAGACGGAATACAAAAAAGACAAACCAAGTTAAAGAGGTCGTGTTCAATTCCTGAGGTGAGGAAGGACAGCATAGCAATGAGACGGCTTTTGTAGCTTAATGATAAGGAAAACATATACAATTAGTAGAAGCACAATTGGAGTAAAAGAAAGCTCACAGGTTTGTTGTCCACTGCCACGACGATATCCCCTAGTACAATATTACCAGCAAAGCCCCTCGTAGTGGGAAGAAGACCAGCTTTGGCTGCCAGACTATTCAGAGGAACCTACAGCACATCCTGATTAGGCCAAGCAAAAAATGGTCTTGCAGCAATAGAAGAAATTCAAACTTGAATTAGAGTAAAATACATAAAAGAAATTATAACACAATATGTTCTATTATCGAGGCATACCTGCAGAATCAGAGCTCCATTTCGTACATTAAGTTGATTTGCAATCAGGTCTGGAGCAATATCAACATTTAAACCAGCTCGCACAACCTAAAATACAAAGGACACAAGGATTATAAAGAAGCATGTTGGAAACCAGTTTTCTTTTCTATTTTTTTGCCAAAAAAAAGTTCAAATGCCCATTTTCTGAATTTCAATAGTAACTCCTAAAGCCAAAGTTCTGTAATGAACAAAGAAGATTTCAAGGGTGAGATCAGCAGAGAATTAGAATTACANACAGTACATATAAGAAGTCCATCATATTCATAACCTAAACTTGACCATCCACAGGCAGAGAAACTTATCAACAAAGGCTAAGGACAATGAGAATCTCACCCATCCGAAGCAAGGATATTAACTCGTGCAACAACTTGCCCACGGCTTGGATTTCTTGAAAGGGAATTACCAATTACTGGGCAATCAGAGAAAAGAAAAGGTCACTTCAAAAACTCACTGCCCAACAGGCAAAATCCAAAAATGATTACCCAGTCTTAAATCAGATTCACAAAATAACTTCTCATTATCAACATTTCAATTAAGAATTGCATATCGAGGTCAACAACCCAACCATTTGACAATCAATTGAATTAAAAACATGCTGATCAATGAACTGATATGATATCAAGAAGCCGAAGAATAATAATACTGAGATTCAGACACTTGTGATAGCATTGAAGGAAAACGAGTGGGGCATCATATATCTCACATGACAAAACTTCTTCCAAAAAGTCAAGTTGACAATAATTGAAACTCATGTAGACAACTAATAGAAGTAGTGGTGCCACTGGAATAGTCAAACAACTATCCGGAGATACATAATATCAGTCAGGACGGGACAGACTACAATTGAAATGAATGCATTCATCCATCACACTGGAATAACTAATTATCTTTTACCTACATATCCACCTGAGCTCTTACCATGGTAATTTGTCACAATGTGCCCTAGTCCATCCCAGACAACTCCAGAGCCATTTCCTTCAGGAACCTAACATTCATCACTACCATATCATTAGGTTACACTCGTAAGAAGATGGTAATATAATCAAACCATGCCATGCATAAAATAGCCAAAGTAATTCACGAACTTGTGACCATTACATGTTAATTTATCCTGTTATATAGAAACAGAAAATTGCAAAAAAAAAAAAGGAAAAGAAAATTAATATTCAACAACATAAAGCAGAATTACCTCAACGAAACCCGTGACATTGAGTTGAGGACGCAAAGTTACATCAAATATGTTGACAACAGAATAAGTATTCTGTTCAAAGAGTTGGACAATTCTTTCCTGCTAAGTAGACAGATATCAGTTCAACCGCCATAAAAATCCGGCATAGATGAGTGCTGAATTTACAAATGATCATTCAAAAACGAAAATAGGCACAATCGATCAACACAGCCGAAAATCAACCTCAGAAGGAAAAAGTTTCCCAGAAGGAAAGACAGGGGGTGTTACTTCCTCAACAGTCACAGATGGATCTCCTAAAGCATAAGCTGTGTATGAAAATAAACTTCAGAATACAAAATCAAATCAAATAGAAGCATAGTTCGGTTACGAAACTTGAAATTCGAATTGGAATTAAGAAACAATGACTGAGTTGTGCGAACCTGATAAGTACCTTGAAGGATGATAGCACGAGTAAATGAATATATTTGCAAATAACACCCGACGCGATGTGTGAGGAAGGAATTTCTGTATTACTTCGCCCAAACCCTTCCTATCTTCACAACCAGTCCTACAAAAGCAGTAGAGATAAGTAGCAGAAATGAAAATTCAAGAAACGAAAATCAATAAATCATGCAAGGGGTTCAGGTGAGGTTATGTATACCTTTGAGTGGAAGTAGGACGAGAGGAGGCAACGTCGGAGGAGGAGGAGTCATCGGAGCAGACAGAGGAAATGCTGTCGAAGCAGAGCTCGCGGCGGCCCAAGAACCGTCTAGGAGTGGGAGAGACACTGATTCGATGAGAGTGGAGAGGCGGAAGAGAAGAATTGCAAGCTAATACTACTGATGGCATTGGAGAAATCTCTACGAAGCGCGCTTATGGGGTTTTCCAAACGGTTTGCTGCACAGAGTAGCACACACAAGGACAGTGTGGCATNACTGAGTTGTGCGAACCTGATAAGTACCTTGAAGGATGATAGCACGAGTAAATGAATATATTTGCAAATAACACCCGACGCGATGTGTGAGGAAGGAATTTCTGTATTACTTCGCCCAAACCCTTCCTATCTTCACAACCAGTCCTACAAAAGCAGTAGAGATAAGTAGCAGAAATGAAAATTCAAGAAACGAAAATCAATAAATCATGCAAGGGGTTCAGGTGAGGTTATGTATACCTTTGAGTGGAAGTAGGACGAGAGGAGGCAACGTCGGAGGAGGAGGAGTCATCGGAGCAGACAGAGGAAATGCTGTCGAAGCAGAGCTCGCGGCGGCCCAAGAACCGTCTAGGAGTGGGAGAGACACTGATTCGATGAGAGTGGAGAGGCGGAAGAGAAGAATTGCAAGCTACTACTACTGATGGCATTGAAGAAATCTCTACGAAGCGCGCTTATGGGGTTTTCCAAACGGTTTGCTGCACAGAGTAGCACACACAAGGACAGTGTGGCAANATGCATTCATCCATCACACTGGAATAACTAATTATCTTTTACCTACATATCCACCTGAGCTCTTACCATGGTAATTTGTCACAATGTGCCCTAGTCCATCCCAGACAACTCCAGAGCCATTTCCTTCAGGAACCTAACATTCATCACTACCATATCATTAGGTTACACTCGTAAGAAGATGGTAATATAATCAAACCATGCCATGCATAAAATAGCCAAAGTAATTCACGAACTTGTGACCATTACATGTTAATTTATCCTGTTATATAGAAACAGAAAATTGCAAAAAAAAAAAAGGAAAAGAAAATTAATATTCAACAACATAAAGCAGAATTACCTCAACGAAACCCGTGACATTGAGTTGAGGACGCAAAGTTACATCAAATATGTTGACAACAGAATAAGTATTCTGTTCAAAGAGTTGGACAATTCTTTCCTGCTAAGTAGACAGATATCAGTTCAACCGCCATAAAAATCCGGCATAGATGAGTGCTGAATTTACAAATGATCATTCAAAAACGAAAATAGGCACAATCGATCAACACAGCCGAAAATCAACCTCAGAAGGAAAAAGTTTCCCAGAAGGAAAGACAGGGGGTGTTACTTCCTCAACAGTCACAGATGGATCTCCTAAAGCATAAGCTGTGTATGAAAATAAACTTCAGAATACAAAATCAAATCAAATAGAAGCATAGTTCGGTTACGAAACTTGAAATTCGAATTGGAATTAAGAAACAATGACTGAGTTGTGCGAACCTGATAAGTACCTTGAAGGATGATAGCACGAGTAAATGAATATATTTGCAAATAACACCCGACGCGATGTGTGAGGAAGGAATTTCTGTATTACTTCGCCCAAACCCTTCCTATCTTCACAACCAGTCCTACAAAAGCAGTAGAGATAAGTAGCAGAAATGAAAATTCAAGAAACGAAAATCAATAAATCATGCAAGGGGTTCAGGTGAGGTTATGTATACCTTTGAGTGGAAGTAGGACGAGAGGAGGCAACGTCGGAGGAGGAGGAGTCATCGGAGCAGACAGAGGAAATGCTGTCGAAGCAGAGCTCGCGGCGGCCCAAGAACCGTCTAGGAGTGGGAGAGACACTGATTCGATGAGAGTGGAGAGGCGGAAGAGAAGAATTGCAAGCTAATACTACTGATGGCATTGGAGAAATCTCTACGAAGCGCGCTTATGGGGTTTTCCAAACGGTTTGCTGCACAGAGTAGCACACACAAGGACAGTGTGGCATGAGTAGATAGAGTTTGGACTTGGCTTCTCTCTCTCTCTTCCGTTAAGAGATCTTTGGACTCGAAATTTTTCTCCTTTTTTTGGGTCGTTTACTTAAGGCTCAAAGAGTGGCCCGTAGTCCATATATTGGCCCATTAATTCAACTACTTGGCCCAATAAGTACGGTTGTCAGATGTGAATTTTGAACCAGATTAAGGTATGCAGAATGACCCATCAAGTAGGTCTGCGTTCCGAATTTCCGATCAAACGGCGTGGCATGATAAAATTCATTGAAAATGAACCATTGCAAAATGCCTAATTTGAGAATTTGATCAGGATTTAAGTCCCTGTGATCATTAGATTAGAGGTGAGTTTTAATGTTAAATAAAATTTATTTTTAATTCAACAGGGATAATAATTAGACTTCAAATTAGTTAGAAATAATATTTTCTTAAAAAAATTAAAAATAAGACAAATTTGAAGGAAATTTAAAAAAAAATAAGCTGATTAGGATCTAACAAAGAGATAGCCCTAAAAGTTTAAAAACATGTCCGATTGCTAACCAATCTTCATGGCTTGATTAAATGATAACATGCATTAATTTTAACTCAACTTGACCTAACATAATTTTATGTCAATTATTTGGGATCGGTTATACACTTGAATACTTCTAAGTTTTGACATAATTTTATTACGTTGGCTCAAAAGTTGTAGAGGTTAGACCGGGGATATTGTTGCTGTGACAATCTCCACTGCCATCTTCTCAAGATCAATCCTTCCTGCTTCTAAAGGGGATAGGATTGGTTAGAGATGACAGGGAAGACTCAAACTTCAAGTAGAACCGATGATTCACATATCCACCCTCTTTCCTTAGTAGGGTAACAAAATGCCATTCCAAAACCAATCAGTGGGCCAAAGTTCTGCAACAACTTCTGGTGTCATGGCCAACCTTCCTTATCTTAACACCTTCAAATCATCTATTTATGCCCTCTTCCCTCCCCTCTCCACTACATCCACCAAAAAAAGAAGAATCAAGAAGCAAACAAGCAATATTTTCTACTAAGATTAGGAAACATGAAGGGAGTAGTAGCCATAACTTTGCTGGTGGTGCTAGCCGTGGCTCAGTTCATGGCGACCCCAAGCGAGGCGACCGTTACTTGTGGCCAAGTGGAGGCTTCTCTCTCCCAGTGCATTAAGCACTTGATTCAAGGTGGTACTCCAACGGCGCAATGCTGTGCTGGGGTTATTGAAAATCTTAAGAGCAAAAATGCATAGAATTGAAAAAGAGAAGAGATGAGGAAGAGAATCCTTTTCATTGCATTAATTTTGCTGTACATACACACCTATATATACTAATTACAAATGAGCATATCAAACTAATTCATATAAATGCTTTACACATAAGAGAAGCTTTCCTAACTAACTGCCAGCTCCACATGCTTCCAGATTCTTCTAGTGAGCTCTGCAGGATCCTTCCAGTGTGCTCTATGTGGTCAGGCTAAGCTGGAGAAGGAATAATCAGTGGAAGCAGCTGAGCTGGAGGCTGCAGCTGAACTATTTTCATTCTCTGCAGATTTTAACACCCCCCACAAGATGGAGAGTATATATTGCATACTCCCATCTTGAGAAGCAAAGAGTGAAAAGTTGAAGATGTCAAGGCTTTTGTCATGATGTCTGCAATCTGAGAATGTGAAGGCATATAGGCGGTGGAAATCATTTTTTCTTGTATCTTCTCTCGAATTAGATGACAATCTAACTCAATGTGCTTTGTTCTCTCATGGAATACAGGATTTGCTGCAATGTGAAGTGCTGACTGATTGTCGCAATAAAGAATGGCTGGTGTTTCATGAGGTATAGAAAGGTCATTGAGCAAATGTCTAATCCAAGTGAGTTCACAGCAAGCTGCAGCCATTGATCTATACTCTGCTTCAGCTGAACTTCTTGAGACCGTAGTTTGCTTCTTGGATTTCCATGAGACAAGTGACTGACCAATGAAGACACAATAGCCAGTTGTAGATCTCCTGGTATCTGGACTTGAAGCCCAGTCAGAATCATAGTAAGCTGTTACCTGTAGGGATGTAGTGAACGGGAAGAAAAGGCCCTGAGCTGGAGATCTCTTGATGTATTTAAGTATCCTGTTCACAGCATTAAGATGAGGAACACGAGGGGCTGCCATGAATTGGCTCAACAAATTTACTGAATAGGAGATGTCAGGTCTTGTGATGGTCAAGTAGAGTAGTCTTCCAATGGCTCTTCTATACAAAGATGGGTTACTCAGAATTTCTCCATCATCTTTGGAGAGTCTGCTGTTTTGTTCCATGGGCACCTTAGCAGGCTTGCATCCAATTAAACCAGAATCTGCAAGAATGTCCGGTGCATACTTCCTTTGACAAACCTGTATTCCATGAGAATTTTTTGGCTATTTCTAAGCCAAGAAAATATTTGAGAGATCCCAAGTCTTTAATCTTGAATTGAGTACTCAAGAACTCCTTCAATTGTGATATAGCATGATTATCATTGGAAGCAACTATAATATCATCCACATAAACCAATAATGCCATGAAAGAAGTGTTTGTCTTCTTGACAAACAAACTGTAATCTGAATGAGACTGAATAAACCCATAACTGAGTAAGGAAGATGAAAACTTAGCATACNTCAAGAACTCCTTCAATTGTGATATAGCATGATTATCATTGGAAGCAACTATAATATCATCCACATAAACCAATAATGCCATGAAAGAAGTGTCTGTCTTCTTGACAAACAAACTGTAATCTGAATGAGACTGAATAAACCCATAACTGAGTAAGGATGATGAAAACTTAGCATATCATTGTCTGGACGCTTGTTTAAGTCCATACAAACTTTTCTTTAACTTGCAAACCTTGGTTTCTCCTTTAAGAGAATACCCAGGGGGTGGTTGCATATACACTTCTTCTTCTAGTTCCCCATGTAGAAATGCATTGTTCACATCGAATTGATGCAGAAACCAGCCCTTGACTGCAGCCAATGCTAACAAATTCTGACCGTTCCAAGTTTTACCACTGGGGAGAAGGTCTCATGGTAGTCAAGTCCCTGTTGTTGGGTATAACCCTTTGCGACTAATCGAGCCTTATACCTTTCCACAGTCCCATCTGAATTATACTTTACTTTGTACACCCATGTTGAGCCAATAGGATGTTTTCCTTTTGGCAAGTCTGTGAGTTCCCAAGTATTGTTATATTCCAAGGCGGCAATTTCACTATCCATGGCTTTACGCCATTANTGATGCAGAAACCAGCCCTTGACTGCAGCCAATGCTAACAAATTCTGACCGTTCCAAGTTTTACCACTGGGGAGAAGGTCTCATGGTAGTCAAGTCCCTGTTGTTGGGTATAACCCTTTGCGACTAATCGAGCCTTATACCTTTCCACAGTCCCATCTGAATTATACTTTACTTTGTACACCCATGTTGAGCCAATAGGATGTTTTCCTTTTGGCAAGTCTATGAGTTCCCAAGTATTGTTATATTCCAAGGCGGCAATTTCACTATCCATGGCTTTACGCCATTACAGAACTTTGGCAGCTTCTTGATATGTATTAGGCTCATGGTGATTTAAGATTGCTGTAGCAAAACTAGCATACTCATGTGAAAGTTTGTTATATGACAAGAATGAAGACAGGGAGTAGAGATGACCAGAGTCCTTGGAGCTTGTTTGAGAAGAGTGAGGTACAATGACTTGGTGACAGTAATAATCTTTCAGATATTCTGGCCTTCTTCTTGTTCTATCTGTCCTATGAAAAGAAGGACTGTTTTGCCTTTCTGTGAAGCTTTCCATGGGAACAGAAATGCAAAGAGAGTTGTTGCCTGATGATGAAGAATGAGGTTCTTCTGGTTTAGGTTGTGAATCAGTGGATGAATATGCATGATTGCTGGGAACTCTGAACATACTGGAAGGGACTGGATTTGGCACAGNATGAAAAGAAGGACTGTTTTGCCTTTCTGTGAAGCTTTCCATGGGAACAGAAATGCAAAGAGAGTTGTTGTCTAATGATGAAGAAGGAGGTTCTTCTGGTTCAGGTTGTGAATCAGTGGATGAATATGCATGATTGCTGGGAACTCTGAACATACTGGAAGGGACTGGATCTGGCACATATGCATCTGTTGAGATGGGTTGAACAGGTGTGGATGATGAAGAAACATCAAAGAAGTGATGTAGTGAAGAATAATTATGTGGAGACGACTAATCTGTTCTATAAGGAAAAACATTTTCATGAAATACAACATCCCTTAAATGAAAGATTGAATGAGTCTCTAGGTCCATTAACTTGTAACCTTTGACTCCAAAAGGATAGCCTAGGAATACACATTTTCTGGCTCTAGGATCAAGCTTATGTCTACTTTGTCTCAGTGTAGAAGCATAGCACAGGGAACCAAAAACCTTTAGATGTTTATATGTCGATTTGGTTTTGAAGAGAAGCTGATATGGGGATTGATTCTGCAGGTTGGGTGAAGGGGTTCTGTTTATCAANACTGGAAGGGACTGGATCTGGCACATATGCATCTGTTGAGATGGGTTGAACAGGTGTGGATGATGAAGAAACATCAAAGAAGTGATGTAGTGAAGAATAATTATGTGGAGACGACTAATCTGTTCTATAAGGAAAAACATTTTCATGAAATACAACATCCCTTAAATGAAAGATTGAATGAGTCTCTAGGTCCATTAACTTGTAACCTTTGACTCCAAAAGGATAGCCTAGGAATACACATTTTCTGGCTCTAGGATCAAGCTTATGTCTACTTTGTCTCAGTGTAGAAGCATAGCACAGGGAACCAAAAACCTTTAGATGTTTATATGTCGATTCGGTTTTGAAGAGAAGCTGATATGGGGATTGATTCTGCAGGTTGGGTGAAGGGGTTCTGTTTATCAGATAGACTGCAGTTAACACACAGTCATTCCAGAAATCGACAGGAATTGCTGAATGAAACATGAGGGATCTGGCTACATTGAGAATATGCTGATGCTTCCTTTCAACGACACCATTCTGTTGAGGGGTTTCTACACAACTTGTTTGATGGATGATTCCCTTTTTCATAAAGAATTCTCCCATACTGAACTCATTTCCTTTATCAGTCCTGATTATCTTAACTTTGGATTGAAATTGGGTCTCTACAAGGGAACAAAAAGATTGTAAAAATGGTCTAGCTTGGGATTTAGCCTTCATTAGGTAGAGCCATGTGCATCTTGTGAAATCATCAACAATGGTGAGGAAATATCTTGAATTATCATAGGCTATGTGTGTGCTAGGTCCCCATATATCACAATGAATTAAGTCAAAAGGATTATGTGACTTGTGTTTCTTTACTAGGAAATGGAAGTCTATGAAATTTGGCCAATGGACAAACTGAACAGGGAGTTTTGCCATTGATGAACTGAACATTTGACAAATCATTCTTTAACAAAGCAAGTCTTGAATTTGAGAGATGACCCAGCCTACAATCCCATAAATCATACTCAGACTGAGAACAAATTGAAGCTGAAACAGAAAACTGTTTACAAGGAAGATCAGACGAAATTGTATTAAGAGAAATTGAAGAGGTTGGTGTCATCTTGAGCTGGTACAAGCCATTATGTATCTCACCCTTCCCAATCGTGCTCCAAGTGGAAAGGTCCTGTATAAGACACTCATTAGCAAAAAATAAGAAGCAGCAGTTGAGGTCCTGTGACAATTTTTTAGCTGACAGAAGGTTGAATCTAAAAGATGGGATGCATAACACATTTTTGAGGGTGATTGCATCATTGATTTTGACAATCCCTGTATGTGTCACTTCTGATAAATCACCATTAGGAAATTTTACTTTGCAAGAGATTTTGATAGGTGTAGAAGAATAGATGGAGGAGCTACAAATCATATGATCTGTTGCACCTGTATCTATTACCCAAGGGATTTGGTTAGTATCTAAAGGAGTGATTTCAGAATTTAAAAAACAAGAAATGATACCAGTAATAGCAGTGGACTGAGTGTTAATTTGGTTACTCTGAACTTGATTAGCAGAAGGTTGCACAACTTTGATTTGAAGTAAGGCCATGAGATGCTGATATTGTTCTTGGGTGATTGCAGAGTGTGACCCTTCTGCCTGCTGCTCTTGGTTTACTGCACTAGCTTGATTAGCTGATGAAGTAATCCCCCTGTTTTTGCTGTGCATTTTGTGACCTGGTGGATATCCATGGCGTTTGAAACATTTCTCAATAGAATGTCCAGTCATATTGCAGTGAGTGCAGAATGGCCATTCTAATTCTGGATTTGCCTTGAAACATTTTTTTATTGAATGACCAGGGATCTTGCAGTGAGTGCAATAAGGTCTTTCTTTCTTTTGAGGAGTAGAATACTTGCTGTTTTCCATATTGGTGATGAAATTAGTTCTTGCTGCTAATGCAAGAGAGTCACTCACATTGATCCCAGAAGTGAGTTGTTTTCGTTTTTCCTCTTGCTGGACTAGAGCATAGACTTCACTCAATGCAGGTAATGGTTTGATTAGAATAATCTGTGCTTTATTGTTTGTGAAAGAATCACTCAAGCCCATGAGGAATTTCATAATCCAATCTCTCTGTTGGTTTTCAAAAACAATTTTCATTGCTCCACATGTGCAAGATGGCAAGGATTCAAAATTCAAGAGTTCATCCAGTAATCCTTTGAGTTTTGAGAAGTATAGACTTACAGAATCTTCGCCTTGAGTGAGAGAATGGACTGCTTGCTTTAGCTCATAGATCCTTGGTCCATTGTTTTGAGCAAACCTCTGTTCCAGCTCAACCCATAACTCATGTGCAGTCTCAACGTATACTACACTGTTTTTGATTTCCAAGGTCATTGCATTTTGAAGCCAAGTAACAACCATTTCATTACATTCAAGCCAAGAATCCATTAAAGGATCATTGGGGTCTGTTGGCTTGCAAAGAGTTCCATCGATGAAGGCCAACTTTCTTTTGATTCGGAGCGATCTTCGAACAGTTCGAGCCCAAGAATGATAGTTTTCTGCTGTGAGAAGGTCACTGGTAAGGAGGATACCTGGTCCATCATTTGGATTGAGGAGGTATGAGTTAGCAGGATCTTTTGGATTGGGGTTGGTCGCAGCATTTTCACTGCCAGAAGAAGAATTGTTGGGATTTGGGGTTGGTGTGGTAGCCATTACTGCTTTGATGCCATATTGAAAATCTTTAAAAAGGCATAGAATTGAAAAAGAGAAGAGATGAGGAAGAGAATCCTTTTCATTACATTAATTTTGCTGTACATACACACCTATATATACTAATTACAAATGAGCATATCAAACTAATTCATATAAATGCTTTACACATAAGAGAAGCTTTCCTAACTAACTGCCAGCTCCACATGCTTCCAGATTCTTCTAGTGAGCTCTGCAGGATCCTTCCAGTGTGCCCTATGTGGTCAGGCTGAGCTGGAGAAGGAATAATCAGTGGAAGCAGCTGAGCTGGAGGCTGCAGCTGAACTATTTTCATTTTCTGCAGATTTTAACAGGGGGTGAAAAGCTTGAAGGATTTGACTCAGAGCCAACCAGACAGGCAAGCTGCATGCGAATGTCTCAAGAAAGCTGCAACAGATCACCCCAATATTAAGCCTGATGCTGCCTCTGATCTCCCTAAAAAGTGTGGTGCTCCAATCAGTGTTCCCATATCTCCTACCGTTAACTGTGGCAAGTAAGTACATTTCTGCTATAAGTTAACCATAAGAAAACACTCAAGAACAAAAAAGTTTCAATATTATATATAACTCAATTTGGTGGGTTACATAAGATTGTTTGAGATCGATCTTAACATTTTTATTATAACTTAGATTTAAAAAAATTGAAACAACACCCTTGGGTACTTTGATCTTACTCTAAGCTAATTACTTGTGGGCTAAACATATTTTGTGTTGGCTAATGTTTATTTTCCCACTGATTTTTTCGATGCAGCATTGCTTGAGATTTGAGATGCATGTTACGGGAAAAGAAATAAATTGAGAGGAATTTGGTATTGGCACCTCCTAATAAATAATATCGTGTTTTTGTACTGGAACAAGTGGTACTACTACGATATTAGAAGCCATGGTTTCATATATATCAAATTTTGTTGAACATATGCTGTATGTGGGTCTACCATGTTGAAAAAAANTACTCTAAGCTAATTACTTGTGGGCTAAACATATTTTGTGTTGGCTAATGTTTATTTTCCCACTGATTTTTTCGATGCAGCATTGCTTGAGAATTGAGATGCATGTTATGGGAAAAGAAATAAATTGAGAGGAATTTGGTATTGGCACCTCCTAATAAATAATATCGTGTTTTTGTACTGGAACTAGTGGTACTACTACGATATTAGAAGCCATGGTTTCATATATATCAAATTTTGTTGAACATATGCTGTATGTGGGTTTACCATGTTGAAAAAAACTAGACAGCAATTATTTTACAGAATATCAAGTATTGTGGATTGGATATCATTTTACATACATTTTCAATGAGCAATACCTATAGTAGATGCCATCTAAGAACACATATCAGAAGCAATTAACTAAAGAAAATAGCTTATGTGCATTGGTCAGCCATTTATTATCAAAACCAAACCAGCTAATGATATGCGCAAGGCCTACTATTCTCGTGAAACGCCACCCTAAATTGGACAAATATTTATTGTTGTAAAGAAGAACAACCCATCACATGAACCTGAACCTCTTTCTAACATTTAACTCGAATAAAAAACGCACCAGTGGTCAATCCGAGATGGTTCAAATGTGTTGTGTAACACCACGAGATGCCTAGTTCGAATCCCTCTCAAGTAGTGTAGTACCATTGCTATAGGGAAAAAAAAAACTTGGGCAATGACAAACGATTTTGTAGTCCTCCCAATAAATNAACCTCTTTCTAACATTTAACTCGAATAAAAAACGCACCAGTGGTCAATCCGAGATGGTTCAAATGTGTTGTGTAACACCACGAGATGCCTAGTTCGAATCCCTCTCAAGTAGTGTAGTACCATTGCTATCGGGAAAAAAAAAACTTGGGCAACGAAAAACGATTTTGTAGTCCTCCCAATAAATAAGTTTGAGTTAAGGCCATACCAAGTCAAAAGAAACAATGTTTTTGTAATTCAGTCAAAAGAAACAAGTTTGTAAGGCCATCCCAAGTCAAAATTCAGCACTCATCCAAAGCTAAAGTAATTCACGAACTTGTGACCTTTACATGTTTATTTATCCTGTTATATAGAAACAGAAAATTGCACCCAAAAAAAAAAAAGGAAAGAAATTTAATATTCAACAACATAAAGCAGAATTACTTCAACGACACCTGTAACATTGAGTTGAGTACATCAAATATGTTGACAACAGAATAAGTATTTTGTTCAAATAGTTGGACAACCGGCATAGATGAGTGCTGAATTTATAAATGATCCTTCAAAAAGGAAAATAGGAACAATTGATCAACACAGTCGAAAATAAATTTCAGAAGGAAAAAGTTTCCCAGAAGGAAAGACAGGGGGTGTTACTTCTTCAATAGTCACTGATGGATCTCCTAAAGCATAAGCTGTGTATGAAAATAAATTTCAGAATACAAAATCAAAATGAAATAGAAGCATAGTTCGGTTACGAAACTTGAAATTCGAATAGGAATTAAGAAACAATGAGTGAGTTGTGCGAACCTGATAAGTACCTTGAAGGATGATAGCACGAATACATGAATATACTTGCAAACAACACCCGACGCGATGTGTGAGGAAGGAATTTCTGTATTACTTCGCCCAATCCTTCCCATCTTCACAACCAGTCCTACAAAAGCAGTAGAGATACATGCAGACATGAAAATTCAAGAAACTAAAAGCAATAAATCATGGAAGGCGTTCAGGTGAGGATATGTATACCTTTGAGTGGAAGTAGGACGAGAGGAGGCAATGTCGGAGGCGGAGGAGGAGTCATCGGAACAGACAGAGGAAATGCCGTCGAAGCAGAGCTCGCGGCGGCCCAAGAACCATCTAGGAGTAGGAGAGACACTGATTCGATGAGAGTGGAGAGGAGGAAGAGAAGAATTGCAAGCTACTATTACTGATAGCATTGGAGAAATCTCTACGAAATGCTTAAAGTGTTATTCCAAACGGTTTGCGGCGCAGACTAGCAGACACAAGGACAGGTGGCATGAGTAGATAGCGTTTGGACTTGGCTTCTCTCTCTCTTCCGTTACGAGATCTTTGGACTCGAAATTTTTCTCTTTTTTTGGATCGCTTAAGTCTCAATATGGCCCGTAGTCCATATCCTGGCCCATTATCCAACTATCCATGGGCCAATGGCCTGAAGCGGTCCATCACATGGTATAGCCCATTAGCAGTCGGATAGGCCAATACCTCGGGTTGTAAGATTTGAATTTTGGACCCGATTAAAGTAGGAAAAATTGTGAAAATGTATATTATACACTGGTTATTTGTGAGGAACATTTTGGCTTTTTTAAAATATTTCATTTACATAAAACTTTTCCTTTATTCGTAGAAGATAAGTTAGGCAGTTAATTGTGAAATTCAGTTTCCTATTTTATTGAAACAATTTTATTATTATTTTTTTTTGATTCTATTTTAATGGCTAATTGGTTTCTTAAATTAAAGGATAATTAACCGTTTAAATTTTGAAAGGATTCTATTAATTTTAAAAAAAANAATTAAAGGATAATTAACCGTTTAAATTTTGAAAAGATTCTATTAGTTTTAAAAAAAATTCTTATTCTCTCTCTATATCTCACATTTAATATCTCTCTTCCTATTTTATCTCTCTTTTTCTCTTTCTCTCTATTCTCTCTCTGTCTCCTTCTATTTTCTCTCTCATCGTTACTCTCATATCCCTGTTCCCTCTCACTCTCCCTTTTATTTTCTCTCTATGTTTATGCAATGTTACATTTAAGTCATATTATGTGATACCCATCTTATGCAAAACACTTCATATGATGTTTGTTTTACAGTGTGACATTGAAGTCACACTTTTGATGTCCACCCTATAAAAAAATAATGCATATAATGTGTAGTTGTATTATGATATTAGATTCATACTTTGATACTCACCATGTGTGTTTTGAATATTTATGTGATGTGTATATGAAGTGGTACGTTGGAGTCACAGTTTGATATCTATCCATGTGCAAACCCTGTATATAGTATCTATATGCAGTGTGACATTAATGCCACATTTGTGATAGTCACAATGTGTCAATACATGGGTTACACTATAGTACTTTTCATGTGATAAAACTTGCATATGTTGTGTGTATATATTGAAAATTGATATCACATTAAAATGTTCAGAGTGACCCAACTCTATATATGTAGTTTACAAATAGTGTGACATTGACGTCACAGTATATGTATCACATTTTTGTCACAAAAAAAAATAAAAAAAAAAATATATATATATATAAAGAAAAATAGTCTTTATCTTAGAAAGTACTTAAAATTAAAGAATTTTAATTTTGCGTTAGCTTTATTTTGGTAACAATTATATATATATATATAAAGAGAGAGAAAAAGAAAATTTCTAGTATAAGAAAATTCTAAAATTTAAGAGTTTTGGTTTTCAAATTAATTGGTTTTTTTATCCGATTTTTTCAATAGTGATTTGATAGTATTAGGAGTACTTCGGTCCTTTTGCGCCAAATTGTATTTTTTGCCAAATTAAGTTTGTACTTAAAGTTAAATAAGTTATAAATAACATACCAACTTCCAAAAAAACCAATTAAGGTATGCAGAATGATCCATCATTCAAGGACACATCCAGTAGGCCGGCATTCCGAATTTTCGATCAAACAGTATGCTAAAATTCATAGATTAGCAATAAGTGTTCATTAGATTAGCAATAAGTTTTAATGTTAAATAAAGTCCACTTTTAATTCAACAAAAGAAATAATATTTTCCTAAAAAATTTAAAGTTAAGTCAAATTTCAAAAAAAAGTATTTTTTTTTAAATAGGCTCATTAAAATCTAACAAATAGACTGCCCTAAAAATTTAAAAATATGTCCAATTGCAAGCCAAACTTCATGGTTTTGTTAAGTGATAATATGCATTAACTTTAACTCAACTCGACTTAACATAATTTTATGCCAATTATTTGGGATCGGTTATATAACTTTTTTCGTTCAAAAATAGCTAAAAATAAAGAAGAATGTCTAGAAACCACTATGATAAATTTTCACTATGGGATCATAAGACCTGAGTGCGCCGGTCACTTAAAAGTTTTGACGTATTTTTACTGCGTTGGCTCAGAAGTTACAGAGGATAAACCGGGGATATTGTTGCTGTGACAATCTCCACTGCCATCTTCTCAAGATCAATCCTTCCTGCTTCTAAAGGGGATAGGATTGGTTAGAGATGACAAGGGAGATTCAAACTTCAAGTAGAACAGATGATTCACATATCCACCCTCTTTCCTCATTAGGGTAACAAAATGCCATTCCAAAACCAATCAGTGGGCCAAAGTTCTGCAACAACTTCTTATGTCATGGCCAACCCACCTCACCTTAACACCTTCAAATCATCTATTTATACCCTTTTCCCTCCCCTCTCCACTACACCCACCCAAAAAAAGAAGAATCAAGAAACAAACAAGCCTTAGTTTCTACTAAAATTAGGAAACATGAAGAGAGTAGTAGCTATAACTTTGCTGGTGGTGCTAGCCGTGGCTCAATTCATGGCGACCCCGAGCGAGGCAACCGTTACTTGTGGCCAAGTGGAGGCTTCTCTCTCCCAGTGCATTGAGTACTTGATTCGAGGTGGTACTCCAACGGGGCAATGCTGTGCCGGAGTGAAAAACTTGAAGGATTTGACTCAGAGCCAACCAGACAGGCAAGCTGCGTGTGAATGTCTCAAGAAAGCTGCAACAGATCACCCCAATATTAAGCCTGATGCTGCCTCTGATCTCCCTAAAAAGTGTGGTGTTCCAATCAGTGTTCCAATTTCTCCTACCGTTAACTGTGGCAAGTAAGTTCATTTCTGCAAAAACACCAAAAAAATATTTGTCAATATCATATATATCTCAATTTGGTGGATTACATAAGATTGCTTGAGATCGATCTTTAACATTTTTATTATAACTTAGATCTAAAAAAATCGACACAACACCTCCTTGGGTACTTTGATCTTACTCTAAGCTAATTACTTGTGGGCTAAACATATTCTGTGTTGGCTAATGTTTATTTTCTCACTGGTTTTTTCCATGCAGCATTGCTTGAGAATTGAGATGCATGTTAGGGGAGAAGAAATAAAGTAAGAGGAATTTGGGTTTCGGCACCTCCTAATAATTAATATCGTGTTTTTGTACTGGAATTAGTGGTACTACTATGATATTGGAGGCAATGGTTTCATAAATATCAAATTTTGTTGAACACAAGGTGTATGCGGGGTTTACCATGTTGAATAAAACTAGACAGCTCTCTATCTCTCTCTGGTTGTAATCCATACTTGAAGAATATCAAGTATTGCAGATTGGGTATCATTTTACATATCTTAAATGAGCAATACCTATGGTAGATACCATCTAAGCACACATATCAGAAGCAATTAACTAAAGAAAATAGCTGATGGGCATTGGGCAGCCATATATCATAAAAAAAAAAAACCAGGTAATGCTATTCTCTCGAGTAGATTATGGCCTACTATCCTGAAGAGTAATGTTATTAAGACCTAAAAGTTTAACTTAATTTGTTGATTTAATGGTATAATTTCATTATAATTAGTGAATTAACACCAAAATTAACGACTTGTTCCATACAATCGATCTATTGTTACTGTAGTTATTTTTTTGTCTCTATTTGACGTTCCAAAACGAGCGTATTGGTCCATTCTGTATTGTCGTTCTCTTATAAAAAATGTCTCTTTTTCTAACCTCGTTATCTCTATCGATCTCACAAATCTCTCTGGTATAGTCAAGGGCTCATTTGTGAACGAATCCCAGGCTGCTTCCCCATTCCTCCAATCCATCACATGAACCTGATCCTCTTTCTACGATTTAACTTGAACCCGAAGACCTCCTATGGTCCATCCCACGAGGTGCCTAGTTCGAACCCCTCCCCAGTAGTGTAGTGTAGTACCGTTACTGTCGGCATAAAAAAAGCTTAGGCAATGAAACACAATTTTGAAGNGAGGTGCCTAGTTCGAACCCCTCCCCAGTAGTGTAGTGTAGTACCGTTACTGTCGGCATAAAAAAAGCTTAGGCAATGAAACACAATTTTGAAGTCCTCCTTCAGTTGGTTTGTCCCAATAAACAAGTTTGAGTTAAGGCCATCCCAAGTCAAAAGAAACAATGTTTATGCAATTATAAATCAAAAGTTACATGGAAAAATTCACCAACGGATTCCACCTGTGTGAGATTTTTTGGCTTCTTTTTGTGATGGTGTTCTCAAACTTACCATAAAGAGCTGAAAAAAGTCAGAGTACTACTGCACAGTGTGTCTACGCAAGTATAGGACTATGCAGGGACCTATTCTTTTTTTTTTTTTTTTAAATATAAGTATTGGTTAGCATTGAACCCATCAGCTTTTAAATGATGATTTTAAAAGAATTAAGGATGACCAACTAAATTAAATTTTATTAATTTCATTGTAAATATAAATGATAGTCCAACCCAACATATCAAACCCGAAGACATGTAATCCTATTTAGTTGAATGCCCATATGAATAGCCCTTCATTTATTGGACAACTTCCAAATTCATCTCGGTATTTAATTTTGGAAAACTCTTTCAACTCCATTAAAAATCCCTACTTAATTTTACTTTTCACAAATTTTATCTTTACAAGTCACGCCTTACAATACANTAAATGCCCATATGAATAGCCCTTCATTTATTGGATAACTTTCAAATTCATCTCGGTATTTAATTTTGAAAAACTCTTTCAACTCCATTAAAAATCTCTACTTAATTTTACTTTTCACAAATTTTATCTTTACAAGTCACGCCTTACAATACAAATGATGATATTTTATTATCGTTTACACGTGATGTAATATTCTAATAACAATATATTACGTATGGAGTATTCCACATATGTATATTTTTTTTTATATCCAATAACTAACATATAGTTACACTATACACAGTGATTTTCTTATCACCCCATGAAGTGTTTTGGTGACATTGTTCCTTTTTTGTTTTTTTGTGTTAACTCCAAAATATCCCAAAACCCTAAGGAGCAATTGGTGACTTGCATTGGTCCCACACATGTACAAAAAACTTTGGTGATTATGAGTTTTAATAGGACCGTAAAATATCTAATGATGAACTCGATTTCTTAGGTCATGCTTACCAATTCGGGAGTTCAGCTCATCAATATTATTTATGGACCTCGACTTTGGACCTCAACTCCCTTTGTCCATATCTCAAGGAAGTTCGTTTAAAGGACAATTGGATCCCATCGAGTACCCATCTTTTTGGCGTCCATCATAGGCGCAAGTTTCATTGCGCAAAAAAAAGTAACCGTTATAAAGAAAAAACGAGGATCTCACCTCAGATCAAGCAAAGCTCTGAGATATCTATAAAACAAAGGCAAAGCCCTCTAAAGAAGAGATATAGTCGTTGTAGTCTTAAAAAATATTCTTTGTAAACCACGTACAGTTATTAATAGATTCAGGAGCAAGAGTTTCCTTTAAGAGTAAATTAATCGAACTCTCAAATTAGTGAACTATTATAACATTGTGCGTAATGATCCATTAATCTTAAAAAAATTCTTTCTTTTAGAGCCTTGAAATTCAGACTAAACTATTCGGTACACCTTATATTCATATTATTGTTCAATCGTGTTAATAACATCGTCGAGTCTAAAATGAAATGGGTATGAAATCAGTGAATTTATATTGTTTAATAGAATNTAGAGTATTCCACATATGTATACTTTTTTTTATATCCAATAACTAACACACATATAGTTACACTATACACAGTGATTTTCTTATCACCCCATGAAGTGTTTTGGTGACACTGTTCCTTTTTTGTTTTTTTGTGTTAACTCCAAAATATCCCAAAACCCTAAGGAGCAATTGGTGATTTGCATTGGTCCCGCACATGTACAAAAAACTTTGGTGATTATGAGTTTTGATAGTACGTAAAATATCTAATGATGAACTCGATTTCTCAGGTCATGTTTACCAGTTCGAGAGTTCAGCTCATCAATATTATTTATGGACCTCGACTTTGAACCTCAACTCCCTTCGTCCATATCTCAAGGAAGTTCGTTTAAAAGACAATTGGATCCCATCGAGTACCCATCTTTTTGGCGTCCATCATAGGCGCAAGTTTCATTGTGCAAAAAAAAGTAACCGTTATAAAGAAAAAACGAGGATCTTGCCTCAGATCAAGCAAAGCTCTGAAATATCTATAAAACAAAGGCAAAGCCCTCTAAAGAAAAGATATAGTCGTTGTAGTCTTAAAAAATATTCTTTGTAAACCACGTACAGTTATTAATAGATTCAGGAGCAAGAGTTTTCTTTAAGAGTAAATTAATCGAACTCTCAAATTGGTGAACTATTATAACATTGTGCGTAATGATCCATTAATCTTAAAAAAATTCTTTCTTTTAGAGCTTTGAAATTCAGACTAAACTATTCGGTACACCTTATATTCATATTATTGTTCAATCGTGTTAATAACATCATCGAGTCTAAAATGAAATGGGTATGAAATCAGTGAATTTATATTGTTTAATAGAATTTAGATTTTTTTAAGAATATAAAATAAAAAATTTTAAATCTTTGAGGATAAAAAGTATGATTCTCCCAAATTATAAGGAACTGATACAGCGGCCTAGGATTATAAATACTAGTAGAACTCGCCTTCTGCCCACAGCCCACTCTCTCTCCTCTGAAGACTGAGGACTGAGGAGAGCCAAAAACCCTTCTTACACTGAACTTTGGCTTCACAAACAAACAATCCCGGCCTTCCCTCTCCCTCTTTTGATTGCCTAAGACTAGGGTTTTAGCCACTAACCTTTTACAATTCAAAAGATGGTGGCCGACCGTGGAAAGAAATTAAAAGTCGCTGACGGTTCTGTGGAGGAAGATTCCGATGGTGAGCTCGTTCTTTCCATTGAAATGCTTCAAGAGGTCCAAGATGAGCTCGACAAGGTTCGCTTTTGACCGACAATTTAATGTTTTTATTTGCATGCAGATTCATGATCGTATAATTTAGTACTTGTTTAGTAGAAAACGGTCTGATATGAATTGTTGGCGTTCATAATGTTACTATGATTGGTAGTGGGTGTTTGTGTTTTTGCATTGTTATAGGAATTATGTATACGGTGGCGGTGATTAGTTGTTGTTCTTTGGACACTTTTGGCAGATATTAATTCTGAATTTGTTGGGGACTTTTGCAATGTGATGTGATTAATTACATGCGTTAACTGTTGTACTAATTTTATGGTCTGTCTGGTTCTTAGAAAGAATTAAGAGATAGGAAAGCTATGTGCTTAAAATGTATGAGGAAAGAAACAAATTCGAGCATTTTTTCTTTCGTCACACAATCTTTTTCCATGGATGTGTTAGCTAATGCTTTTGAGGAATTACAATGGAAAGAAAACATAAATGATAAGAAGAAGATTCTTTTCATAAGCATGAATTCTTAAAAGGGGTAGGGAAGATTTAATGGGTTACTGTCTTGAGGTTTCAAGTTTTGACTCTTGCAAGAGAGAGGTGGTTTATCAATGCACGTGGTTTGCTGGCCATTGCATGCATCCAGAGTTTCAAGGTAGCTATGAGTCCGAAAAACATGTAGTTGGGATGGTTCTCCTTTATTAAAAAAATTGTTTTCCAGGGGACCAAATAAAGGGTTGGGTTTTGGCCTCATTTTTTGAAGAGAGTACGTTACATGGACCTCTCATTTTAGCCAGCCCAAAGGTATCCGTGTTGGCAAAACCCATCTATTGTTGTACTTGTACGTGCTTGGGCCAAGGTATTTGTTCCGTGTCCAAATGCTGGCAAAAGAAGTTCCGTCAA